ATTGTAAAAGTGCCATATTTTTCTTACTAATGTCTGTAACTTAGAGTTCTATTTTGTACCATATTCATTCTGTTTATCATGTCTTAACTTTATACTATATAATAAGGCTAATTTTGTTCTCACCTTAATCCTTTTCAGCATTTTTGAAACTTGTCATTTTTCAGCTAAATCTTATGACCATAAAGTCAAAAATATGAGTTCTCTTTTGAAAGTTAATTTCTTAGCTGTAAAATCTCTTGCATCCTATGTTAAAAGCTTTGAAACATGTTAAGTAATAACCAAGCCTGGTGATAGAGAAAATGTAAAGGGAGACCTTCAAACAGCTATCTACTTAGAATTTGCTCTTGGCTTCAGTGGAAACAGTGTTGAGAGATACTTATAGCAAATAAAAAGATCAAAATTAGTAAAAGCACCTGTCTAGTGAATGTGCTAACTTATTGTGTTGAAGCTTATCATACACAGGTACAAATGTTTGGATGATGGTCCTCCCTTAGTTTGGGAAATGCATTCCAACATTTCTGGTGAATACCTCAAGTCCAGGATGGCACCAGATCTGTGTGTCCTGTTTGTTCCCACCATACATGCTGATGATGGACTTTAACTTATAGTTTAGGCATAGTAAGACATTGGAAGCATTAACATTATCAACCTTAATGTATGATTTTATATATCTATCTACCTGTTTATTTGTTTATCTTAAGTTGAGAACTCCCACTTTCTTCAGTTAAAGGAAGTATTTTGGAGCGTCTCTTTGGCATAGTTTTGAGTTCTGATACCCTTTTTGGGGACATTAAGTAAAATAAGGGTAACTTGCACGCAACATCTGTGATATTTGCTACAGTTGATCTGGTAGTTGAGGTGGTCCTATGTGACTAATGAGCAGCATAGACAAAGGAATGATTCTTGGAAAAGCATACTTTATCATGCTACTCAGAATGACACACTATTTATTTATTTACTTATGATTTATTTTTCTTGGAAAGGTAGAGACAAAAGGAGAGACAGAGAGAAAAATCATCCATCTGCTGGTTCATTCCCCAGGTTGGCTCAATGGCTGGAACCTAGGCAATCCAAAGCCAGGAGCCTGTTTCAGGTCTTGCACATAGGAACAGGGTCCCAAGGGCTTAGACCAGCCTCTACTGCTTTCCCAGGCCACAAGCAGGGAGTTGGATGCGAAGAAGAGCATCTGGGACACAAGCCAACACTGATATGGGATCCTGATGCTTGCAAAGCAAGGATTTAGCCACTGAGCTATAGCTCTGAGCCCAGAATGACACACAATGTAAAATCTTTTTCTTCCTTTCTTTCTTTCTTTCTTGCTTTCTTGCTTGCTTTGAAAAGCAGAGCGTGTGCTCTCATGCATTACTGTAAGTCCCAAATGCTCTCAGTGGTTGGGGATAAGCCAGTGCTGAAGCCAAGAGCCAGAAACATAATTTAGGTCTCTCACATGACTGGTAGGAATTCAGCTACTTGAGCATTTACCTGCTGTCTCCCAGGATGACCTGTATTAGGAACAAGCTAGAGGAGCCGGTGTTGTGGAGTAGTGAATAAAGCCGCAACCTGTACACCAGTATCCCATATGGGCACCGCTTCAAGTCCCAGCTGATGAGCTTGTAATCCAGCTCCCTGTTAATGGCCTGGGAAAAAGAGTGGAAGGGTCAAAGTGCCTGGACGCCTGCAATCACGTGGGAGACCCAGAGGAAGGTCTGGGCTCCTGCTTCATTCTGACTTAGCTTTAGATGTTGGTACCATTTTTAAGAACGAACCAGAAGTTGAAAGATTTTATTCTGTCTTTTCTCCCTCTGTTACACTGTAACTCTGTAACTGTGCCTTTCAGATAAATGGAATGTAGCATTTTTGTTTCAAAGATTTTTTTTTTCCCATTGGAAAGGCAGGTTTATGGAAAAAAAGGAGAGATAGAGAAAAAGCTCTTCTCACTGCTTCACTCTGAAGTAGCTACAACGGCTGGAGCTGAGCCCATCCGAATCCAGGAGCCAGGAGTTTCTTTTGGGTCTCCCATGTGGGTACCAGGTCCCAAGGCTTTGGGCCGTCCTCAACTGCTTTCCCAAGCCATAAACAGGAGCTGGAAGGGAAGTGGAGCATCCAAGATACGAACCAACATCCATATGGGATTTCTGCACATGTAAGACAAGGACTTTAGCCACTAGGCTACCATGCTGGGCCCAGAATGTATCATTATTTTATTTTTAAGATTTATTTATTTTTGCTGGAAAGTCAGATGTACAGAGAGAAGAAGAGACAGAGAAAGATCTTCCATCCACTGATTTCACTCCCCAAGTGACCGCAAAAGCCAGACCTGAGCTGATCCGAAGCCTGGAGCCTCTTCCAGGTCTCCCACATGGGTACATGGTCTCAAGTCTTTGGGCCATCCTTGGCTGCTTTCCCAGGCCGCAAGTAGGAGGCTGGATGGGAAGTGGGGCTACCAGAGTTAGAACTGGTGCCCATATGGGATCCTGTGTGCAAGGCAAGGACTTTAGGCACTAGGCTACCATGCTGGATCCTCCCCTTAAAATATAAGTATTTGTTTTTGTTATTTGTCTTGGGAAAGTCCCTCTTCATTCTCAGTGATTAGCTACAATTAAACTTAAAAAGGTCTTTGAGAATGATTATGACAGATACATTGTTTGTAGGAAAGTGATAGGATGTAGGTTTTACTCACAAGGTGTTTTGTTTTGTTTTGTTTTTAGGAAATACACTAAAAAATGCAAAAGCAGATACTGCCATGGGGAGCAGGTGTTGAGCCAAGCAGTTGGAGTGCCTGCCCCTTGTGTCAGAGCACCCAAGTTCCAGTCCTGATCCCGGCTCCCGGTTCCTGCCCATGCAGATCACAACTCAAAGAAATGAGTTCACTCCACTCTTGCAGGAGACCCAGACTGAGTCTGTGGCTCCTGGCTGTGGCCCTAGCCAGGCACCAGCCCATTGCAAGCATCTGGGGAGCAGACTGCAGTCTCTATGTCTGTTTATCTCTGTGTCTTTCTGCCTCTCAGAGCAGTAGGTAGGTAGGTGGATAATGATGGAAAGCTTTTTAAATACACTCAGCACAGGCAGAGGGAACACACATTGTGGTGCAACAATTAAAGATGCTCCTTGGGACTCCAATATGCCAAATCACAGTGCCTGGGTGAGTCCTCATTTGGCTTTTGATCCAGCTGGGAAGTGAAAGGTGATGCCCGAGTGATTAGGTCCCTGCCACCCACATAGGACACCCAGATAGAGTTCCAGGCTCCTACATTCAGTCTGGCCCAGCCCCAGAGGTTTTGGAGCATTTGGGGGTAAACCAGTGGATGGAAAACCTCTGTCTCTGTCTTTTTGCCTTTCAAGTAAAATGGTAATATTAACAAACAGACAGACAAAAAACGCTTTGAAGAAGAGACCGCTAGTGCCTGCCTCGGCAGCACATATCCTGACATTGGAAACAAGAGACCACTGTGTGCCAGAATGGATCAGGAAACTTCTGGCAGGTGTTCAATTTGAGCTAAGATTTGGGGGTATAAATAAAAATTGAGTGTCTAGAAAGAAAAGCAGCCTTTTAGGGGGGAGAAGAAGGAGGTCAGAATAGGTGAAAGCCAGTGGAAGAGAAAATCACACATTGGGTTCTCCGTCATTGATGTGAGCAGGCAGACTAGTGTGTCAGCAGAGGAGTTGGGAAGCTGCAGTAAAAAGGCACTAGTAATAGCTGGCATACTCTGTGCCAGTCGTTGAGTTCAACACTTTACGTATTCACATATAAATTAATCTTCACAAGGCTGACATAATTTATTACTATTCTAAAAATTAGGAAATTGCCTTCAGAAAATTGAACTGGGGCCTGTATTGTGGTGTACTAGATTAAGTCATGTCCTGCAATGCCAGCATCCCAAAAGAATGCCAAGGGCACTAGTTGGGGCCCCAGATGCTCTGCTTGCAATCCAGCTCCCTGCTCATGTGCTTAGGAAAGCAGCAGCTGACCAGGTGCTTGGGCCCTTGTACCAGCAAGGGAGAGGGTGGTAAAGCTTCCTGCTGGCCCAGCCCTGGCCATTTTGGCCATTTCAGGGATGAGCTAGTGGATGGAATACCTGTCTCTACCTCTGTGTCTCTGTCTTTTCCCCTCTCCCACCCGCCCTCATCTTTCTTTCCCTCTCTCTCTTTCTCCTTTTTTTCTTCTTCCTTACTCCCCATCTCTCCCCTCCTTTCCCTCCCTCTTTCTTCCCTCCCTCCACCTCTCTCCCTCTCCCCTCTCACAGCACTTCTTATCCCCTCTCCCCACATTTCTTCCTCTTCTTTCCCCTCTCATCCTTTCCCCTTCTCCCTTTATCCTCTCCCCCCACACACTTCTCCTTCTCGCTCCAAATTTGCCTTTCGAATAAAGAAAATCAATTATCCAGCTTCAGATGTCCAGTGAAGAAGCAAAACCTGGACTTAAACCATTTGATTTCAAAGATGCTGTTAACTGTGCATATCTGGTAATAATCATTTAAAGAATTTGAATCAGGAAATATTTCAATAGACTTCTTGAAATTAATCTGCCTGAAGTTGCTGGAAAATTTGGTGTCACTCAAACTGTACACTTAATAAGTGTGGAGATGTGAGGGTTTCAGTGTTGAAAACAAAAGGCACAGGCCCAGCATGATACTGTAGTGGTTAAAGTCTTCAACTTGCATGCCCGGGATCCCATATGGGTGCCAGTTCTAATCCCAGAGGCCCCGCTTCCCATCCAGCTCCCTGCTTGTGGCCTGGAAGGACAGTCGAGGACGGCCCAAAGCCTTGGGACCCTGCACCCATGTGGGAGATCTGGAGGAGGTCCCTGGCTCCTGGCTTCGGATTGGCTCAGCTCCAGCCATTGCATCCGCTTGGGGAGTGAACCATCAGTCAGAAGATCTTCTTCTGTCTCTCCTCCTCTTTGTTTATCTGCCTTTCCAATAAAAATAAATAAATAATCTTGAAAAAAAATAAAGGCACATTTTCATGAGTGGAGAGGGTGACTTTTACTTTGGTTTTAGGCAACATTGGACTACGGAATGTATTCTCGAGAAGAGGAATTATTAAGAGAAAGAAAGCGCATTGGGACAGTTGGAATTGCTTCTTATGACTACCACCAAGGAAGTGGAACCTTTCTGTTTCAAGCTGGTAGTGGAATCTATCATGTGAAAGACGGAGGGCCACAGGGATTTACTGTAAGTTGGAATTACTGCTTGTTCAATCTATTTGGGCATCCTGAAAGTTATTTCCACCTAAATCAGCAAGATTAACAACAACAACAACAACAAACATCAGAAACTTCAGTGTAGCCACAGGAAAAAAGAGTAGCAATGAAAAGAAAATGGATGTTGTTGATTTTTTAAGAGTTAATTTTTCCAGGGGTGTTAAAATATAACTTTGAAATGTTAAAAACACTTAGTATTTAAGAAGAGCATCAGTTCCATTTTCTGTGAGAATTGAGGGAAATTTTGGAAGTTATTGTTCATTTTCGTTTCCTTGAAAACTACATTGTGTTCATAAATGATGTTGTGTGTTTGGTTTTACTCTAAGTGATTCTTTATGTGTTATTGGAACTATTATGATAGAATTGTGATGATGCTGGTTCCCATTACATTTTTATGATATTGATAAATTTAAGGAATTTAATATTCAATTAATTAATAATTAACAAATAATTGCTCTATTAAACAGCAGTGTTTATGAAGTGCCATTCTGTTGTCTGTTTCATTTCCTATAACCCTTAGCTTTTTCTTTGATAGTAAAAAACAAGTCCCTCTATGTAAGTGGGCTTGCTAACAAGCAGTGCATCTGTGTAAGCCTGACGCTGTTTTAATATAGTGTTTACTTTCCTAGCAACAACCTTTACGGCCCAATTTAGTGGAAACTAGTTGTCCCAACATACGAATGGATCCCAAATTGTGCCCTGCTGACCCAGACTGGATTGCTTTTATACATAGCAATGATATTTGGATATCTAACATTGTAACCAGAGAAGAAAGAAGGCTTACCTACGTGCACAACGGTAAGATGTAGTTCTAGCGTTCTGTGTCTGTTGAAAGCATTTTTTTTTAAAGATTTATTTGTTTTATTGGAAAGGCAGATTACAGAGAGAAGAGACAGAGAGGATCTTCCCTCTGATTATTTACTCCCCAAGCAGCCGCAACAGCCGGTACTACGCCAATCCAAAGCCAGGATCCAGGAACTTCTTTCCGGGTCTCCCATATGGGTGCAGGGTCCCAAGGCTTTGGGCTGTCCTCGACTGCCTTCCCAGGCCACAAGCAGGGAGCTGCATGGGAAGTGGAGCTGCCGGGAGTAGAACCGGCGCCCATATGGGATCCTGGACGCATTCAAGGCGAGGACCTTAACCGTTAACGCTATCACGCTGAGCCCTGTTAAGCATTTTTACAATTCAGCTTGTTTCTGCCTGTCCTTTGAAATTGAAATATACTGAATGATGGTGACACTTTAAGTTTTCAGAATTTAAAAAATAGGGAAAAGCACAGAGGATAACTCATGTATGCCATCTGTGTCATCCTGCCTTGTCCTTTTGTTGGTTGGAGACAGTGCAGCACTAGCCTTTTTGGCATGACTCCCTTTATGTCCCTTTAGCGTAATAAGGCTGCCAGAATTCTGCCTAGTACTGATTTCATTAAAATTAGATTTTAGGGGACAGGTAAAGCCACCACTTATGATCCCTGAATTCCATATTGGAGTGCTGTTTCGGTCCCAGCTCCTCTGCTTCCAGTCCAGCTTTGTGTTAACACACCTGAAAGGACAGCAGAAGATAATGCAGGTACCTTAGTTCCTGGCCCCGGGCTTCAGCCTGTCCATCCCCAGCAGCTGCGGGCATTTGAGGAGTGAGCAAGTAGATAGACTATCCCCCGCACACACTCTGCTGTCATTTCCTCTTTCTCTGTCATTTTGCCTTTCAAATAAATAATTTTTTTTAATTAAATAAAACTTTCGTTTTTAAAACAATAGTCTTGCTTTGGGGAAGCAAACCAGAAGAACCAATTATACTGTAAGAGACTGTGAAATTTTATCTTCCCATTTTAAAGAGCCTATTTAGCAATTGTTATAATAAGAAAAGCACAACATTGTGGAACTACATGTATTGTAGAAATATTTAATTTTCATGTAAGTGGTGATAATAAGACTACTCAGGGCTGCTCAAGAAGAGAAATATGAATGTTTTGTAAAGATTAGAAGTGAAATATGAGAAATGCTGTTTTGCTTTTTCAACATGTGAAACAGTATTTAAGATTCAGCTTCCCAATGAAGGGTGCTAACTCTGAAAATTCATTTATTCAACTTTTGCAGCTTTGGTTAATCTGATGCAAAGCTCACTTATTGATTATCTTCTCTAATTATCATCCCTTCTGTAATCACTAGTTACAATTAATTACCAATATTCTTTAAGGGTGTTAACAGATAGGCTCTAAATAGGAAAACAAAGTTACACAGAATCTGCTGTGGAGTTTTTCTCCATTTAGCTAAGAAATATACCAAAAGAGTAAAAGCCAAAATCCAAAAACGTAGAAGAGATAATAACTCCTATAAAAAATTTTGAAAACCTGATCACTATGTGCCAAAGCAGTTCAGAAAACTTTGCTAGCTAACACTTTGTTAAATTTAAATTACTCTAACAGATACTTTCCATTGTGAGGATAATCAGTGTTGTTGATGCCTTCTCCTGTACAGTTTATGTTGGCAGGAAGAGGACCAAGACAATCTATTTGTTCTATTAAATTAGCCAGCAGAAATTGTGTCCCAGTGCGCCTGGCCCTGTGGCAGGTAGAGTTTACCATTCATATCTGCAGGTTCTGCATTCCTGGATTCAGCTAACTTCATATCAAAAATATATAGTCAAGAAGGATTCCAGAAAGTTCCAGAAAGCAAAACTGACCACAAGTGAAGTATACTACAATAGGCATGCACATTCATAGCCCTCTGCCATTTTATCGCCTTGCAGTATTTTAAGATTTACTTACTTTTACTGGAAAGACATATTTACAGAGAGAAGGAGAGACAAAAAGAAATATCTTCCATCCCCTGGTTAATTCCCCAAGTAGCTGCAGTGCCCAGAATTGAGCTACCAGGACGTGGACTGGCTCCAATAATTAAATCTTAAAAACATAAGTACAGGTTTTTGTGTTTAAGGAATCTCTTTTTGAAGTCAGGAAACGAGAATAGCCACTAGCAATAGGAAGGTTAGGTTGGTGGTTAATCTGTATTGGAAATCCTAGTTTTCTTATGCTTTCAGTAAACACTGAGCACTCATGTGTACCAATTATTGTCCTTGAGGCTGAAATTGCAAGACTCTGACATAACTTGTCTGAATTAAGGAAGCTTTTAAGTCTTTTTTTTTTTTTCTGTAAAATTTTCTATATAGAATTTGCAACCACTGGCTGAATTTAGAGTAGAAAACATTGGAACCCTGCAGGATGTAATTGTGTTTTTATGCTGTTCTTTCCCATGAATGTACGCATGTTGTACATTTATTATTTTCAGAATTCATATGGTGGCTAGGAATAAAGATAGAGAACGCAGAGTCATATAAAAGCAGACTATGTGAATTGAACTCCCATGGCTACCATTTATTAACTCTTTGGCCTTGAGCAGGTTGTTTCATATGTCTCTTAATTTCTGTTTCTATAAACATGCTAATTAATAGCACACCCACCTAGGGTTATTTATAAGGCTTTAATGAGTTAATAGTTGTGAAGTGTTTAGTGCCTAAAATAAATGCCATGTAAGCATTTGTTTAGCTAGACAGATACCTAGGAAATAATCATCATCAACTTACTCTCTATTTACTCACAATATGAAGTTTCCAAGCAAAAGTTCACATTAGAAAATGAGTTTTGACAGCATGTACAGATATTTATTGCTGCCTCACGTGATAGAGAAATTCCAGAAAAATTAAATATCAATCTCTACTCTCAGGTGAGTTACTGTGAGGACAAAATGTTATTATTCATTCATTTAAAAAAAAACAGTTCTTAATAACTAAGTTATGTAATAAGTGATAGAAATACAAATAGATTCTATCCTCATATTCTAAAGGACTACAAAATACATGTTAGTGTAGGGATTGATACTGTAGTAACTGAAAGTACTAACAAACATTAACGTGAATCTTGGCTCTATCCTTAATCCCAAAACTCAAAAAGCTCTGAAAACTGAGCCTGGTTTGCACTAAATTAGTGCTAAAACTTGCTTGGTAGCTAACCCTGACCTGAACTGACCTGAACTGACCTGAGGTTATTTATAATCTTAATCCCACTTAGTTTGCCTGTTACTAAACTTGCTGAAGCAAGTATCAGTGTATTTGATTTCGGAGTATTTGGCTACCTTGTTGAAAATGTTACTTAATATATAGTAGTTGTTTGATATGTGGAAAATCCACAAAATTCTGCATTCCAAATACTTCTGGACTCAAAATTATGCAGTAAGGGATTAGTGATTGACACTGCATATCCATGTCAGAAAATATAGATAAGCAAAAATATTAAATTAAACTTGTTTATAAAGTTAAAACCTCTACAAGATATTACTACACACCCACTAGATTAGTAAGGATGATTGAGAATAGCAAGTGTTGGAGAACAACTTTAATATATTGCTGATTGTAGTTGGCACAGCAAAATAATCCTCTACCCTGTGGCACCAGCATCCCATATGAGCACCAGTTCATGTCCCAGCTGCTCCACTTCTGATCCAGGTCTGTGGCCTGGAAATGCAACAGAAACGGCCCAGATCCTAGGAAGCTTATACCCAAGCGGGAGACTAGGAAGAAGCTCCTGGATCCCAGATTCATATCAACTCAGCTCTGGCCTTGGTGGCTATTTGGGGAGTGCAGATGGAAGACCTTCTCTTTATTTCCTCTCTAAAATTTGCATTTCAAATAAAAATAAATCTTTTTTCTTTAAAAAAAAAAAAGGTAAATACAGTGCTTAGGGAATTGTTTGGCAGTTCTTTATTAATATTTTATTTGTTTCTATTATTTGAAAGACAGTTTTTCTATCTGTTGGTTCACTTTATACTTGCCTGCAATAGCTGGAGCTGGGTCAGACCAAAGTTAGGAACTGGGAAATTGTCAGTTTCTTATACTACCTAGCCTTTTAGCTTCCAAGTATTTATTCAAGAGAAATGAAAATATGACTGTAAAAATTATTATACAAAATGTTCATCTTTATTCCTAGTAACCAAATACTGAAAGCAATCCAAATGTCCATTTACAAAGAGTTGATGCTGTGGCACAGAGGTTGTGCCACTTGTGACAGCAACATCCCAGATGTCTTCCTGCTCAAGTCCTGCCTCTGTACTTCTAATCTAGCTCCCTGCTGATGCACCTGGAAAAGCAGATGGCCCTGTGCTTGTGCTGCTGACAGCCATGGGGGAGACATAAAGGGAGTTACAGGCAGGCTCCTGGCATTAGGACTATTTGAAGAATGAAGCAATGGATAGATTTTTTTCTCTCTCTCTTTCTGCCTTCTCTTCTCTTCTCTTCTCTTCTCTTCTCTTCTCTTCTCTTCTCTTCTCTTCTCTTCTCTCTCTTTCTTTCATTTATTTGAAAGACAGAGTTAGAGAGAGATGGAGAGATCTTCTATCCATCCACCAGTTCAGTCCCCAAATGGCTGCAGTGGCTGGGTCTGGGCCAGACCAAAGCCAGGAACCAGGAGCTTCTTCCAGATCTCCTACCTGGATGCAGAGGCCCAAGAACTCGGGCCATCCTCCACTGCTTTCCCAGGCACATTAGCAGGGAACTAGATCAGAAATGGAGCAGCCTAGACTTCAGCCAGTCGCTATACAGGATGCCAGCATTACAGGCATGTGTCTCTATCTCTTCTTCTTTTTCTGTAATTCTGACTTTCATATAAATAAATCTTAAAAAATAATAATGATAACTAATATAAATGAGGGACAGGTATTTGTCACAGTGGTTGGAAAGCCTCTTGGAGAATGTGCAGCCTGTATCAGAGTACCTGAATCTGAATCCCTCCAATTCCTATTCCAGCCTCCCACTAGAGCACACACTAAGAGGAGGCAGGTGATAGCTCAAGTAGTTGGGTTCCTGCAGTCCCTGTGGGAAACCTAGGTGGAATTTGGCTTTCTCCTCAGTCTGGCCTCACTCTGGCTGCTGCAGACATTTGGGGGATAAACCATGAGATGAAGATCTCTGTCTCTCTATAAATAAAAATAAATTTTAAATTGAATTAAAAAAAACAATTATGGTATAAGTGGAATGTTACTTAATATAACAGGAATGAATTACATACAACAACATGGATGAATCTCAAAAGGAAGCCAGATACTTAGTATATATACCGTATGGTTTCACTTATATAAAATGGATCACTTATATGAAATTGATCAGAAATCCGATCAGTGACTGCTTCTAGGGCAGCAGTGGGCACTGGCTAGAAAGAAGTGGGAAGAAACATTCTTAGAAATTGGGAATGTGTGCCTTGATGAGATGTAGTCCAATAATATATGAACTTTTGAAAAATAAATGGTTCACTTAAATTTTGTCAGTTATAAAGCTGTTTTAAAAATCTTATAAAATCTTGCAAATGACAGTATGTTTATTTGAACAGCAGAAAGGAATCTTCCATTTCTAGTTTATTTCCCAAAATTACAACAGCCAGAACTGGGTCAGGTTGAAAACAGGAGCCTAGAACTCAATCCAGATCTTCTGTTGGATGACATATGGGTCAGAAGTGGAGGAGCCAGATGCTTAGGGGACACAGCCATCCCATGCAGCAACTTAACTGCCATACCGAGCACCTGCCGCTCAATACTTTTTAAAAATATTTTTATGGCATTATAGTATGGCAGGTAAAGCTGCTACCCACAATGCCTGCATTCCATGTGGGTGCCAGTTCAGGCCCAGCTTCCTGCTAATATCTTGGATAAGAGCAGCAGAAGGTGCCCAGGTATTTGGGCCCCTGCCATCCATGTGCTGAGATCCAAATGAAGCTCCTGGCTCCTGGCTTTAGACTAGCCTAACCCTGACCACTATAAGCATAAGCACCTTGGGTAAACCAGTAAACAGACTGTCTCTGTCTATCTCCCTCTTTCTATAACTGTGACTTCAAGTAAATAAAATTTTATATATATATATATTTATATATTTATATATTTTAGATGTTTACTTATTTGTGGGGCCAACATTATAATGTAGCAGGTTAAGCTTATGATGCCAGCATCCCACATGGGTAGGAGTTTGTGTTCTTGCTGTTCCTCTTCCAATCCAGCTCCCAGCTAGTGGTCTGGGAGAAGCAATAGAAGATGAGCCAAGTTCTTGGGCCCCTGCACCCACATGGGAGACCTAGAAGAAGCTCCTAGTTCCTGACTTCAGTATGGCCTAGTCCCTGCCATTGCAGCCATTTGGGAAGTGAACCAGCAGATGATTCTCTCTCTGACCCTTCTTCCCTCTCCCTGTGTAACTCTGCCTTTCAAATAGATAAATATTTTAATGTATAAGTATATATTTGTGTGATACTTTTGTAAATGTGATCACTATGCATGTACTGCGTAGTTATGTGAGTTCTTTTTTGTTCAAGTATGTTATAAATATTTTCTGCACATAATGTGTTACATAATTAGGGCTTTGTGATTTCTTTCTTTTTGTGTGTGATTTATTCTTTGAACTAAAATTCCTTTTAAAGTGTGTGTTGTAAATCTGAGGATTAGATAGATAAAGGTTAGCCCCCTCTGGTTGAATGGGAGGCAGGAGGAGTGGTTGGATTATGTGATCTGTAAGATCCATTCTAGGTCTAAAGATACCCTGTATAGGAGCACTACAAATCACTATTAATCCTTCACATGAATTTTCTTCTGTGATTCTAGCTCATTGGGGAAATAGTAAATGACATTGATGGAGCATGTACTGGGGACCAGGCTCTGTTCTAAATGTTTTATATGAATTAACTAAGGTGTCATAGCACCCTTACAAAGGAAGCTCTTACTCCCGTAAAATCGGATACTGCAGTGGAGTGCCAGTGGGCAATTGGCTGAAGGTCAGACAGTAGGTTGAAGAAAGAGCCTACATCTAAATTCAGTCCATTGGTTCCAGAGAGAGCTACCAGATTCCAGCTTTCAAAATAAGATGAACCATTTTGCTTTGTACGTTCAAAAGAACCCAGAACTTTCTAATAATTTTGTGTTTTATATTTGTCTAGAGCTAGCCAACATGGAGGAGGATCCCAGATCTGCTGGGGTTGCCACCTTTGTTCTTCAAGAGGAGTTTGATAGATACTCTGGCTACTGGTGGTGTCCAGAAGCTGAAGCAAGTAAGAAGGGTCAAACTAATATCTTGCAGGTCGATTAAGGTATTATAAGATCTAACTCTCAGTCACATCTACAAATATTAAATCTTGAATAGGAATTCTAAAGTGAAGATTAGATCCTACTACTATCTATTTAGAGCATACAGATGATATGTCAACCATATAGAATTCTAGTAAAAATAATTATGCCTCAGTTCCCTAAATTCTGTTTGCTAAATTTTCACCTAGAAGTTATCTATGATGCTGGCAATATTGTGGGAACATAGAAAATACCACAGCTCAGTAAGTTGTCATAAAAATGAATGATTGACTAGAATGGATGTGCAGGTGCTAATTACCATATGACTTGATAAGAAAAGGCAGGAACAAGCTGCTTTTCCCGGGTGAACTCTCCTTGCCCAAAAACCCCCCAGAGCAGTGGCTTTCAGATTTCTTGACCATGATCCAATTAAACAGTGGCCTAATACATTGTACACATATGTACAGATAAAACAAGTTTCATGAAGCAATATTTATGCTTGTATTAGTATACCCAATAGTATTATTATTTTGTTTATTGTATTTTTTTAATGTTGGGTATGAACAATCAACAGATTCCATTATTCAGTAACAGTTTGTAGCTAATGATCTGTAGCCTTCTTTTTTTTTTTTTAAGATTTTTAAAGTCTTTTTTTTTAAAGACTTTGTAATAAAAATGATTACAAATGATTATAAAGTCAGATATACAGAGAGGAGGAAAGACAGAGAGGAAGATCTTCCCTCTGATGATTCACTCCCAAAGTAAGCCGCACGGCAGGTGCTGCTCCGATCCAAAGCCAGGAACCAGGAACCACTTCCGGGTCTCCCACACGGGCGCAGGGTCCCAAAGCTTTGGCCCGCCCTTGACTGTTTTCCCAGGCCACAAGCAGGGAGCTGGATGGGAAGCAGGGCTGCCGGGATTAGAACTGGCGCCCATATGGGATCCTGGGGCGTTCAGGGTAAGGACTTTAGCCACTAGGCCACACCGCTGGGCCCGATCTGTAGCCTTCTTTAAGGAATCATGAAAAAAAAATTTTTTAAAGCTACCTCTCAGATCTCTATATTTTATTTTAAGATGAGATTTTTTTTGCCATAATTGTATTTGTTAGGACAATATTTTGACATGCCAGAGAAACCACTCAAAATAATTGAAATGCATTTAAATAACATTTTTATAGTTGATAAGTAAGTAAAATCATTTTAAGGTGTACAGAGGAAATTCCTTCGAAATGTTTTTCCCTGTTTTAAAAATGTTTATGCATGCTACCTTCAGTTTTCTTTTTCACTTTCTAAAAGGAATAGTCTTTAATTAGTAGAAGTTTTATTATAACTCATTTTACTATGCAAAAATGAGGATGTTTTTATACATAGAAAATGACATATTTTATACATGAATTATTTTCCCAAGTAAAAATTCTGTGTTGGAAATCATGGACAGTTAGGATTACTGTCTGCAATAATTCTAAATTTTCAATATCTAAATCCCTTTTAAGCTCCTAATGGTGGTAAAATTCTTAGAATTTTGTATGAAGAAAATGACGAGTCCGAGGTGGAAATTATTCATGTTACATCTCCCCTGCTGGAAACAAGGAGGGCAGATTCGTTCCGTTACCCTAAAACAGGTACTGTGTTCCCTGCCGTTTATACTGCCCTTTTTCGTCTTCCAAATAAGATTGTTTCTGTAGTATCTCAAGGCCCAGTGAAACATTGGTCATCGACATCCTTATAAAGGGTGGGTTATTCATTCATGCTATTGAAATAGTTTTAGAATTAGAGACAGATTTTGTAAAACTGGTGACTATAAAAACTAGTATCTTCAACAAGTGAGTGGAAAATGTATCTTCGTTAGCAGGTGAGGATTCTTAGCTGACTTTGTTCCTAGTGAATTCATAACTTCTCCTATTTTGCTATTTACAACATTTTGGTTGTAAAAATAGTACAGAATTTTCCTACTTTATTTCATATTTATCTTAAAGTTTTTCAGCTCTTTTTTTTTTCACTTTTTAACACCTATATTAAAAAATATAAATTTGAGATAGGGTTCTAATTCTTGTGCAGTAAGCCTTGATATATTTAATATTCCCAAATTAAGTGTAGAGGATTGAGCTAGCAAAAGTAGCTTAAGTGATCTTGACTGTAAACTACCATTCATTTCTATATCTCTAAAGGCACAGCAAATCCAAAAGTCACTTTCAAGATGTCGGAAATACTAATTGATGCTGAAGGAAGGGTAAGTATAAAATACTAGGTTGACTTTTGGTATCATTTTCCTGACCGGTCTGGTAGACGTCTTTGCTACACTTTTTATTTTGATCGTTGTTGATCTGATGACTTTTCACGTTCTTAGAGTTGTGAGACTATCACCAGCATCAACTTTAGAATATTTTTGTCACTTCAAAGAGAAATCCTCCAACTGCTTCTCAACTTTAGCATTAACCCTAACACTAGACAGCTGCTAATCTACTTAGTATAGATTTGCCTATTCTGGATGCTTCATATAAGTGTAATTATAAAGTATGTAGCCTAGCTTCTTGGATTAATGCTACTGGTATTTCTTTTTTTATTGACATATAGTATTTCATTGTATAACTGATATTATATATGTTATGTATTACATGTATTATTTATAGTAAACATACAATGTGTTCTGGTTATTGAAAGTCACCATTTTCAAATATGTTGTTGCTACTTAATAAGGAAATACATGGCTTATTCTTTTAGAATCTAGCAAAGTTGTTTTGTTAGGATCTTGCCAAATTTGATTTTACTATGTTCTTCATGCCTTTTAAGTATCTAAACCTGAGAAAGTGTTATATTCTTATATATATATGATTTAAGTAGACTGCTCAGCTAATTGTTTCTCAAAATCTTATACGTCATAAGAGTCCTTTTTCTTTTTTTTAATAGATTATAGATGTCATAGATAAGGAACTAATTCAACCTTTTGAGATTCTGTTTGAAGGAGTTGAATATATTGCCAGAGCTGGATGGACTCCAAACGGAAAATAGTGCGTATGTTAAATGTCACTTTTTTACAACTAAGGATCCAAATGCCTGGACTGGTTTGTTCTGGTTGGAGCTTTGTTCACATGTAAAGTAGCAGTACAGCTATTTCTGCACAAGAGACGTTTCCTGAACTTAGTGGACTTACAGATGTATAAGCTTATCAGCATGAGTGCATTTCATTTTTTTTAAGATTTATTATTTTTATGGGAAAGTCAGATATACAGAGGAAAGGAGACAGAGAGAAAGATCCTCCATCCATTGATTCACTCTCCAAGTGGCGGCAACAACTGGAGCCGAGGTGATCCGAAGCCAGGAGCCAGGAGCTTCTTCCAGGTTTCCCACACAGGTGCAGGGGCCCAAGGCCTTGGGCCGTCCTCGACTGTTTTCTCAGGCCATAGGCAGGGAGCTGGGTGGGAAGTGGGACCGCTGGGGTTAGAACTGGTGCCCATATGGGATTCCGGTGCATTCAAGGTGAGGACTTTAGCCACTAGGCTACCATGCTGGACTCTAGTACATTTCAGTTCTGTTGCTTAGCCAGTTGTGATTCTTGGTGATATTTGTTTCACTTGTGGCAGGAATTTGGGGTGGTTGTTAAGATCCGCTTGGATTGTCCACATCCCAAATGGGAGTGCCTAGGCTTAGGTCCTTGCTATACTCAGTTCAAGCTTCGTGTTAGTGTAAGCCTGGGAAGCAGCTGGCATGACTGAAGTTGTTGAGTTCCTCCCACCCACGTAGACAGCCTGGATTGAACTCTTGGCTGCTGGCTTCAGCCTCGTCTTTCCTGGCTATTGCAGGCATTTGGAGAATAAACCAAGGAACAGGAGATATCTGCCTTTTTCTCTGTATTCCTCTCTTTCTTGCACTACCTCTCAAATACATAATTTTTTAAATTATTATTTTATTTTGATAATCTTTGCATAGTTGATTAGGGCACAAAGGGTCAAGGGCTAGAGGAAAGTAGGTAAGACCATTGTTTCCACATTCTCTCTCTTTTTTTCCTGTATCTGGGGTAAGAGGTAAAATAAAGGGAGAAGCCCACACATAAATGTCAACTTTTTAAATTTGAAAATTTGAAGAAAACCATTTTGAACAACTGTTGAAGCCTAATCTTTTAAAGTAAGTATAGAATGTTTTTAATTAGCTATTTGTGTGAATTTAAAGAATCCTCAGATTTTTCATTGTGCTAAGATGAGTGCCATGCAAAGGAAAAGGAGATTGTTTGTTTTCTGAGAGCTTGATTTATTTCTGGTGCTTCTCTTTTATTTGTTTAAATAGTGCTTGGTCCATCCTACTAGATCGCTCCCAAACTCGCCTACAAATTGTGCTGATCTCACCTGAGTTATTTATCCCAGTGGAAGATGATGTCATGGAAAGGCAGAGACTCATTGAATCAGTGCCCGACTCTGTGACCCCGCTGATCATCTATGAAGAAACGACAGACATCTGGATAAACGTATGCATTCTTCCTCCGTGACTGAGTGTATCCTCAGAATGCCGACACCAATGGAGCACTAAACAGACTATCACAAGGCAGTTTGACAAGTTCAGAGAAGTCCATGAATGTTACTTGCTTATTTGCACATCTCAAGTCTTAAGAGTGATGATTGCAGAGTAGAAGGGTTTTAGGTGCCATTTACTTGACCTCTGACTGGCAGCAGTACATCTGACTGGTACTCTCATCAGATGCTGAGTACCCAGGTCGTCTCAGCCCTGTCAGTGCTCGGAGAAGACGTGAAGACCCCAGTTCTGAAGAAGGCGTCTTCCTCCTTGAAACAAGAAAAGCTATACCAAAACATTCCAGTTTTCAGTTGAGTTTTGGATTTTCCAATTTAGTATAAAAATAAGAGACAAAGGAAATAGAGCCAGCTCACTCCTTCAGTGAATATAGGCTTCATATGACTCACCTAAAACAGATGAACATCTGTTTTCCCTCAGTTGTTAGAATATTTTTCTTTGGAAAAGAAAAGTTTAAAAAAAAGTTCTCATCATTTCTGTAATAAGATTTGTATCATTAAATAAACCTCATGCCATATTCAAAGATTAAAGAGGTTGTGAGTAAGGAAAAGCTTTAGGTCATATTTTTCTGTTTTTCTCCATTTGGAAGCGTTTAGTTCTCAGTGGGTAAAGCCTTTGACGAAGTAAGTCTGAAAGGCGCAGCTAGAAGTTATTATCATAACTGTACCACACCCTTGCACTGACGGTTGTTCGTATTTCAAAGTAGATTTATCAATTCGTTCTTTTTTCCTCTAGCTTAATTGAATGATGTAGTATTTTCATTAATGTCTATAGTAAATTAAGCTATTCATTTTGCAGATCCATGACATCTTTCATGTTTTTCCCCAAAGTCACGAAGACGAAATTGAGTTTATTTTTGCCTCTGAGTGCAAAACTGGTTTCCGTCATTTATATAAAATCACATCCATTTTAAAGGAGAGCAGATATAAACGATCCAGTGGTGGCCTGCCTGCCCCAAGTAAGAAGTCCTTTTATATGTACAAGAAGGAGCACATGCTGGGGCAGAAGGCAGGGGGACTGTTGTGTTGAGAATGTTGTGTGATGATCTGGTGGGTAAGTGAGTATCGGGATTACTTTTGTTTTCTACTTTGACCTTGAATGTACTTTTAATTTGTTTACACGTATTGGATCAATATCATTTTGTATTTTTTAAAATACTACTTCAAGATTGTTATATAATTGTTACACATACACAGATATACATAAAAGCTCTATGAACTTCACTCCTTAGATTGCTTTTTATTTAAGTCATACAGCTTTTCCCTTTTTGTAAATCAGCACTTCCTTCTCAAAGCCAAACAGTATTCTCTCTGTGTGTATTCCGCTGTCTCTTGCTCTGCAGTGGGCCTGGGGCTGCGTCCAGCTTTAGCTGCTGTCAGTGAGGCTGCTGTGCACATGGGTCTGCAACAACTATTCCTGTCCCAGTTTGTAGTCCTTTTGAACATGCACCAGAGTGGAAGTTCTGGCTCATAAAGTGATTATACCTTTAATTTTTTTGAGAAGCTGCCATACCATTTTTTTCGTAATGGTATACCATTATGTATACCATTGATACATAAGTAAGAATGATTACATTAATTTTAAATGATTTTTTTTTTAACTGGAAAGTCAAATATACAGAGAGGAACAGAGACAGGGAAGAAGATCTGCCATCTGATGATTCACTCTCCAAGCGGCCACAATGGCCGGAGCTAAGCCAATCTGAAGCCAGGAGCCAGGAACCTTTTCTGGGTCTCCCACGTGAGTGCAGGGTCCCAAGGCTTTGGGTTGCCCTCGACTGCTTTCCCAGGCCACAAGCAGGGAGCTGGATGGGAAGTAGAGCAACCGGAATATGAACTGACGCCCATATGGGGTCCAAGCACGTGCAAGGCGAGGACTTTAGCCACTAGGCTACAGTACTAGGCCCAGAATGCTTACATTATTTAATTTTAAGAATTTTTTTAAAGGTTTATTTATTTTTATTAGAAAGGCAGATATACAAAGAGGAGGAGATACAGAGAGGAAGATCTTCCATTCACTGATTCACTCCCCAAGTGGCCATAATGGTCGGAGTGGTGCTCATATGAAGCAAGGAGCCAGGAGCTTCTCCCAGGTCTCTCATGAGGGTGTAGGGTCCCAAGGCTTTGTGTTGTCCTTTACTGTTTTCCCAGGCCAGAAGCAGGGAGCTGGATAGAGAACTAGCACAAATGTAGGATCCTGGTGTGTGCAAGGCGAGGACCTTATCCGCTAGGCTATGGTGCCAGACCCAAGATTACATTATTTTACCTCCTCTCACTCTCACACACACAGAGCAATACACAAAATTTTTAATTTCTTCAAAGTATTTATCATCTTCCGATTTTTTGACAGTAGCCATCCTAGCAAAGTAACTTATTGACAGTATTTTCATGTAGCTAACATTCATTTATATACTTTGAAGAAAAATTATTGAAGTCCTTTGTGCATTTTAAAATCTGATTATATAGTCATTCTGGCCTTTTAAATATTATTTTGATTTAGGCAATGATGATCTACATCATGATAAGCTGATTGAATGTTGTGTATATTGCTGCTCCTTTCCTTAACTTAGTGTTTTTTTGTGTGTATGTGTGTATGTGTAATTTTTTTTTAATTTCTTTTTTTTGTTTGTTTGAAAGTCCAATTTACAGACAGGAGGAGACACAGAGGGAAAAATCTTTCATCTGCTGGTTCACCCCCCAAATAGCCACATCGGCCGAAGCTGAGCTGATCCGAATCCAAAAGCCAGGACCTTCTTCCTGGTCTCCCAGGCAGGTGCAGGGTCCAATGTGTTGAGCCATCCTCAACTGCTTTCCCAGGCCACAAGCAGGGAGCTGGATGGGAAGTGGACAGCCAAGATACAAACCGGCGCCCATATGGGATCCCAGCATGTGCAAGACAAGGACTTTAACCACTGAGCCAGGCCCAGTCTAGTTTTGGGGTTTTTTTGTGTGTGTTTTATTTTTATTGGAAAGTTAGATATACAGAGAGGAGGAGAGACAGAGAAGATCTTCTATCCATTGATTCACTCCGCAGGCAGCCACAACAGCCGATACTGAGCTGATCAGGAGCCAGGAGCCTCTTCCAGGTCTCCCATGAGGATGCAGGGTCCCAAGGCTTTGGGTCATCCTCTGCTTCTTTCCCAGGCTAAAAACAGGAAGCTGGATGGGAAGTGGAGCTGCCAGAATTAGAACTGACTGGCTCCCATATGGGATCCCGGCACAAGCTAGGAGAGGATTTGACCCATTTAGTCTAGCATGCTGGGGCCCAGCCGAGATTTTAAAATGATCGAGATCTCACATGTCCAAGGTAGAAATGCATCGTTTGGAGCCTCAGCCTAGCTTAGCTGCTAATGTGAAACTGCTGTTTAAACATCTGTTTTATTTTTATTGTAAAGGCAGATTTATAGAGAGAAGGAGAGACAGAAAGATCTTCAATCTGCTGGTTCACCCCCTAAATGGCTGCAGTGAACAGCCTAGCTAATCCAATCTGAAGCCAAGGGTTTCTTCTGGGTCTGCCAATAATTTTTAAAGGCTTTATTTATTTTTGTTAGAAAATCAAATGTGCAGAGAAGAGGAGAGACAGAGAGTAAGATCTTCCATCTGTTGATTCACTCCCCACCTGGGCACTATAGCAGGAGCTGAAATAATCAGAAACCAGGAGCCAGGAGCTTCTTCTGTGTCACTCAAGTGGGTGCAGGGTTATCGTTGACTGCTTTCCCAGGTCACAAGCAGGGAGCTGGATGGGAATTGGAGCAGCCAGGACATGAACCAGTACCTCTATGGGATCCCGGCATTTGAAAGGCGAGTATGAAGCCACTGTGCCATTGCGCCGGGCCCAATTATGAAATTCTTAAGTTTAATGATAGACTGATCGAATAGATGTGTTTAATAGTTGCTTAGCTAAAACAAACTTTGGGGAACAGTAATAAGAGACGACCTAAAATTCTGGCCCCTAAGTGAAGTATGTAAGAAGAACTAGTATCTGTTAACATTCACTCTTTTGTTTGTTTTCTTTTCTTGTTTTCTTGTTTTCTTTTCTTTTCTCTCTTTTTCTTTCTTTCTTTCTTTCTTTCTTTCTTTCTTTCTTTCTTTCTTTCTTTCTTTCTTTCTTTCTTTCTTTCTTTCTTTCTTTCTTTCTTTCTTTCTTTCTTTCTTTTTCCTCCCTTCCTTCCTTCCTTCCTTCTTCTTCTTCTCTCTCTCTCTCTCTCTCTCTCTCTCAAGATTTGTCTTATTTATTTGAAAGGCAGTTCGAGAAAGGAAGAGACAGATATTCCAGGTGGCTGGAATGGCTTGAACTCAGCCCGGGTGAATCCAGGAGCTTCATGTAGGTGTCTCTTAATGAATGGTTGGGCCCAAGCTGGATCAGAAATGGAGCAGCTGGGATTTGAGAGCCCAGCACAATGACTCAGTTGACTAATCCCCTTGCAAGCACCAGGATCCCTTTTGGCCACCAATTCAGGTCCTGGCTGCTTTATTTCCCATCAAAGCTCCCTGCTTGTGGCCTGGGAGACCAATGGAGGATGACCTGAGGCCTTGGGACCCTGCATCTGCATGGGAGACCCGGAAGAAGCTCCTGGCTCCTGGGATTGGATCAGCTCAGGTGTGGTCTTTGCATCCAGTTACAGAGTGAGCCAGAAGGTAGATGTTTCTGTCTCTCCTTCTCTCTGTAAATCTTCTAATAAAAAAAAATAAATCTTAAAAAAAAACAAGTAAAAATGAAAGGGAAAAGAAATGTAGCAACTGGGGCTTGTTTGTCATTCTCTCCATAAATCTGCCTTTTCAATAAAAGGAAAATCTTTAGAAAAAAAAAAAGCAACTGAGACTTGAATCATAGCCAATATGGGATGCTGGTATTGCAGGCAGCAACTAAATGCACTGTGCCACAGTGGCAGTCCCCACTTCTATTTGTTCCTTAGGTTTTTTTTTTTTTAATCAAAATCTTTCTTCTTTTAGTTTTCTTTCTTTTTTCTCTTTCTTTTCATTTTGAAAGGCAGAATTACACAGCAAGGGAGAGAGAAAAAGATCTACCCATAGTTTACTGCCTAAACAGCTGCAGTGGCTTGGTGAAGCCAGGAACCAGGAGATTCCTCCAGGTTTTCTGTACAGGTGCAGGGGACCCAAGCACTTTAATCAATTTCTGCTGCTTTCTCAGGTGCATTAGGAGGGAGCTGGTCAGAAGTGCAGCTGCCAAGACTTGAACCAGCATCTGTAGGGGGTGTTTGCATCACGGGCTGCAGCTTTACTTACTACACCACAGTGCCAGCATTCTTTTCCTTTATGTCTGCTTCATTTTCCTTTTCCTTTTAAATGACTAATGTGAAACAATTCACTTTTATTATCTGTGTACTTGATGTAGTCTTTTATTTTCTGCACACAAAATTTGCAAGTCTACTGATTGCTCTATTTATGTATTTGTAAGGCAGGGTGACAGAGGAGGATATTACATCTTCTGGTTCACCCCTCAAATGTCTGCACTCATGAGGGCTGGGCCAGGCTGAAGGCTGGGGCCAAGAACACTGGCCGAGTCTCCTGCTTATGTGTTGTGAGTCCAACTACCTGAGCCATCATCCACTGCCTTTCCAGGCACATCAGTGAGAAACTGGATCAGACACAGACTAGTGCTGCCATATGAGGTATTGGTGTTGGAAGCACTAGCTTAACCTGCCGAGCTACACAATGCCAGCCCCTTCTGTGTCCTTTGAAGTAGTTGAATGTATTTCTTGGAAACAAATTCTTCTCAGTTCATAGATTTAGACATCATTGTCTAACCAACGGTCCAAGATACAGATTTTCTTAAATTCTTGTCTGGCCTTGCCTTAAGAATCTGCTTTGTGGGGCCAGCACAGTGGTGTATCAGGCTAATCCTCCATCTACAAGTACTGGCATCCCATATGGGTGCCAGTTTGTATCCCAATTCAGCGCTCTGCTTATGACCTGAGAAAGCAGTGGAAAATGGCCCAAAACCTTATGGTCCTGTACTCACATGGGAAGATGTTCCTGGCTCCTAGCTTCAGATCACCTCAGTTCTAACCATTGCGGCTATTTGGGGAGTGAAGCAGCAGATGGAAGACCTCTCTCTCTGTCTGTCTCTCCTTCTCTCTCTGTATAAATCTGCCTCTCAAATTAAAAAAAAAAATCCTAAGAGAGAGAATCCATTTTGTGAAGGCAGTGTTGTACAGTGGATTAAGTCTGTAATGTCAGCATCCCGTATGAGCAGGGGTTTGAGTACCAATTTCTCCACTTCTACTCCAGCTTCCTGCTAATGCACCTGGGAAGGCAACTTGGGCCCTGCCACCCATGTGAGAGAGACAAAAGGAGTTCTAGGCTCCAAAATTGAGCCTGACCCAAGCTGGGCATTATAGCCATTTGGGGAGTAAGCCAGCAGATAGAAGATCTCTTTTTCCCATCTCCCCAGTCACTCTTACCTTTCCAATAAGACAGATCTTTAATATATGTGCTACCAAAGCGAGCACAATAAGACAGATCTTTAAACAAAAATTCTTTGTATTGCTGTTTTCACATGGATCCTCCCATTATTTGTGCAGGATATTGTGAGTCATCTCTTGAAGGTTGGTGTTATAATACAGTAGGTTAAGGTGCTGCCTGCAATGCCAACATCCCATATGAGCCTGTTCAAGTCCCAGCTGCTCTGCTTATAATTCAGCTCCCTGCTAATATATCTGGGCAAACAGAAAATGGCCTAAATACTTGTCCTGCCTACGTAGGAGACCGTAATACAGTTCCAGACTACTGGCTGTGTTCCACTGCAACCATTTGGGAATTGAACCAGTAGATGAAAGATTCTCATTCTCTCTAACTGTGCCTTCCAGATAAACCTTTTTACGAAAGACTCATAACTTGAATTTTTTAACTGTAGACTTTTATTGAAGTAAAATTTACATATTAATCATTCTGAAAAAACAACTCAGTGGCTTTTTAAAAATTTATATATTAGGGCCCAACAAGATGGCTCAATAGCTAAATCTTCACTTTGCAAGCACCGGGATCCCATGTGGGTGCCAGTGTTTGTCCCGGCTGCTCTACTTCCCATCCAGCTCCCTGCTTGTGGCCTGGGAAAGCCGCAAAAGATGGCCCAAAGCCTTGGGATCCTGCACCCGCATGGGAGACCCAGAAGAAGCTCCTGGTTTCTGGCTTCAGATTGGCTCAGCTCTAGCCTTTGCAGCCACTTGGGGCATAAACCAGTGAATGAAGGATCTTTCTCTCCTCCATAAATATGAGCTGCTTTTCCAGTTAATAATAATAATCCCGATGTAAATTTTTTTTATTACAAAGTCAGATATACACAGATGAGGAGAGACGGTGAGGAAGATCTTCCGTCCAATCATTCACTCCCCAAGTGAGCGCAACAGCTGCTGTGCCGATCCAAAGCCAGGATCCAGGAAGTTCTTCCTGGTCTCCCACACGGATGCAGGGTCCCAAGGCTCTGTGCCGGCCTCAACTGCTTTCCCAGGCCACAAGCAGGGAGCTGGATGGGAAGTGGAGCTGCCAGGGTTAGACCCAGCACCAACATGGGATCCTGGCGTTCAAGGCGAGGACTCTAGCTGCTAGGCCACGCCGCTGGGCCCCCAATGTAAATTTTTTTAAATCCCATGTATGATTGTCTGAGTTTAATTCCTAGAAAAAAAATTGGTATATTAAAATTCTACATCTTTATGGGCCTATGTCTTTATGATGGATGTGTTGTGTAGTGTTCAATAAAGGGCGAACATACTCTATCTCCTCAACCGTGTGTCCTCTCGGCAGTGCACTGTGCATATTCAGTGTTCTTGGTAGTTCCAAATCATTCTCATCACCCTAAGTAATTTTTTAATGCAGGTGGGATTTTTTTTGCAAAATAAGAAAATGTTTAGAATGCTGTTATTATTGTTTCATTTACTTGTGGTTGAGTATAAAGTACTAAATTATAACTGTATTTTCCAGGTGATTTCAAGTGTCCTATTAAAGAGGAGATAGCAATTACCAGTGGTGAATGGGAAGTTCTTGGCCGGCATGGATCTAATGTATGTGCTTTCATTCTTCTGATAATGTTTGATCAGTATCCATATGTATGCAGTATGAAAAGTCTCTAGTAAGACTTAATGTGGGCCCAGTGCAATAGCCTAGTGGCTAAAGTCCTTGCCTTATGTGCTGGGATCCTATAATGGGTGTTGGTTTGTATCCCAGCTGTTCCATTTCCCTTCCAGGTCCCTGCCTGTGGCCTGGGAAAGCAGTAGAGGACGGCCCAAAGCCTTGGGACCCTGTACCCATGTGGGAGACCTGGAGAAGGTTCCTAACTCCTGGCTTCAGATCGGTTTAGCTCCAGCCATTGCAGCCATTGGGGGGTGAACCCGTGGGTGGAAGATCCTTCTATCTCCTTCTCCGTATATCTACCTTTTCAATAAAAATAAATAAATAGATCTTAAAAGAAAGACTTAATATGTCCCCAGTATTTTGAAAATACTAAGTTGGAACCTAAAATAACTCAGGTTATTGGAAAGGAAAAATAAGCTTAAATTATAAATATCATTTTATAGCCCTGATATTAGATTATTCTGTTTTTAAAGAATTATTTTATTTTTATTGGAAAGTCAGATATACAGAGTAGAGGAGAGGCAGAGAGGAAGATCTTCCATCCGATGATTCACACCCCAAGTGACCGCAGCGGCAGGTGCTGTGCCGATCCAAAGCCAGGAGCCAGAAACTTCCTCCAGGTCTCCCACACGGGTGCAGGGTTCTAAGGCTTTGGGCCGTCCTCGACTGCTTTCCCAGGCCACAAGCAGGGAGCTGGATGGGAAGTGGAGCTGCAGGGATTAGAACCTGCGCCAATATGGGATCCTGGCATGTTCAAGGCAAGGACTTTAGCCACTAGCCTATTGTGCCGGGCCCCAGATTATTCTAACTATTAAAGCTCATCGTTATTTGTTATTTAATAAGGAAAAGCCTGGTCCAAACTTTTAGTGTCTAGCAAAATTGTCGATTAGGATATAATATGGACATTACTGTGCTGTTTCTACATTGGAAGTTGTGTTTGCTACAGTTGTTTCTCTTTCATTCTGCTCTTCATAAATTTGGGCTTTTATCAACTACTACAAAAAATGATGAGTATGTTTATGTGACTTAGCTTGATAAGGGAGATTTACCCTCAGCAAGTGGTTTTCTGTGGCAGCTCAGTGAATTTCTCCTTTCCTTTTGCTGTTCCTAGCCCCTCACCTTTGTGTCCGCTCTCCGTGAGGGGCTGTGCCGCATGAGGTCTTTAAGGCTCTCTGCTTCCTCGGGTGAAGTGCACAGTAAAGTTGATGGATGTTACCCAAATCTGGTAACAACCTTGATGTGATTTCCTTACATTGAGAAAGAGGTTTGTTTGTTATGTAGACTAGCTAGTATAGAAGTCACTTAGAGTCACTGAGATGATTAAGGAAAAGAAGGAAGATCTTGTTTTTTTTGTTTTTGTGAAGACTTTGGACTGTCATAGGCAACTTGTAAACTCCTTATTTCTTCTGAGCCTCCCATGGCCCCTGGGTATTTATCAAGTACATGTTATTCTGTTTGGAGATCTTGGATGTTACTATCACTTCAGAAAAGAAAGTAAAGTGGAATGGGAGGATAGAAGGTTTTAAAAAATCTTAGTATAGAATTCTAAGTTCTGATGTCAAAAAATTACACTACTGCAAGTTTCTTAGTGCATAATGGTTGGAAGTTACAAGTCATTAGATAATGCTGAGGGATCCCCAAGATTGTTTGAAGATCTTATTTGGATGACCAAGTGTCTCTCTGCTACTGACCACTGCATACATTCACTTCTCTGTCTTCTTTGGGTCTCGCTTATTTCTGTGATATCTTTGTCGCTGCGTTTCCATCTTCCTCCTCTTCTTTTCTTGTGCTTTTCTATCTTCAAGTACTTTTACTTTCCTCCTTCTCTGCTTTTACAAGTGACCTAATCCCACCCAGAGATCTCTAATAGTAGTTGGGTAAACCTTTGAGACTTCTAAGTCTATATGCCTCCTACAGTTGAAGATGATTGTAATTGTTGGGTTGCTGTACAAGCAGCAAAATATCAGCACCATGTGGTGTAATAGGTTTGAAAAGCAGATTCCTGTGCCTACCACAACCTCCAAGCATCTCTAGTGTTGGGGATAGGGCAGCAATCTGTTTAACAAACCCTGCAGGTGATTACAGCACTACTTCAAAAAAAAAAAAAAGATTGATTATTTGATGATAAGCAGTGCAACAGGCAGTGGGTAGTGGGGCCTAGGGAGATCTTCCATCTGCTGATTCATTCCCCAAATGTCCACACAGCTGGGGCTGGGCCAGGCCAAAGCCAGAAGCCAGGAACTCCATCTTGATCTCCTATATGGGTGACAGGGCCCAAATACACTTGGACCATCATCCACTGCCTTCCTAGGCTCGATCAGAAGTGAACTAACCGGGATGCCAGTGCTCAGCCAACTCCACCACAACACCAGCCTCTGATACCTCTGGTAAATGGTTACATGAAATAAAACTATAATAGGAAGGTAGGGTGAGGAACTGGCTGGATATTTCTTCAGCTTTGAAAGGCCATGTCAGAAGTAGAGCCAGTCTTAATCGCTTCCCAAGATGAACACATGCAGCTTCATTGTTTTTCTAACATTTATATCCTTTCTGTGTATTGACCTGCTTATTTACAACTATATGTGTCAATTAATGCATCTTAAAAGGGTTTACTGATATATTTTCAAGGATTAAACCATTAAAAAAAAAAAAAACAACAAAACTGAGTGCCCAGCACGGTAGCCCAGTGGCTAAAGTCCTCATACTGTATGTGCCAGGATCCCATATGGGTGTCAGTTCATATCCCAGCTGCTTCACTTCCCTTCTAAGTCCCTGCCTGTGGCCTGGGAAAGCAACAGAGAATAACACAAAGCCTTGGGCCCCTGCACCCATGTGGGAGACTCAGATGCTCCTGGCTGTGGATCGGCTCAGCTCCAGCCATTGTGGCCATTTAGCAATTTACCCAGCAGATAGAATCTTTCTCTCTATACATTTGGTTTTCCAATAAAAATAAATAAATCTTAAAAAAAAAAAAAAGCCTGAAGAACAGGTATTTGGGTAGCAGTGATAAAACGCTGCCTGTGTCACTTATTGGATGGAATACCCCAGTGCGAATCCTAGCTCTGGCTCCTGATTCTGTGTTCCTGCTGCAGCAGATCCTACAGAAAGCAAGTAGTGCTATGTTCTTGAGTCCCTGCCACCCATGTGGGAAGCCTTGATTGAGTTTCTGTCTCCCAACTTCTACCTAATCCAGCTTCAACTGTAGGCATCTCGGGAGAGTGCCAGCAAATGGGAACTCATTGTCTGCTCTCTCAAATAATATAAATAAATTAATCAAAAATTTAAAAGTAGTACCTTTAGAAATATGTGTATGTTCACTATGCAAAACATTTTTAATATTATTAAATGTTGAATAGACTGGTAGATTTTTTAAAGGGACAAGAAAAATTTATAATCATTTCAATTTGGACTATTTGGTGAGTTCTGTTGCATTTTGTGTGTACATGTGTGCTGAGTAAAAGATCTTATCCATACTTATAAATTATACCAGTGTTGAAACTGAGTTAAATTATTGCCCAAGTCAGTAGATAAAATACTTTTGAAAATGTGTACAAAAGACCTAAACAGTGCTGCCTTAGATAATATTGCATTGAGAAATATACTAACGGTAAAATTAGACTCTCAAATATTTGTCAGTGGTTAACTTAAGCTGTGAAATAGTCTGGAGTTTGCTCTGTCAAGAATGTTTATTTTAAAGAAATAATTCTGCTTTTATTTTGAGGGTGTTATGTTTTATGTTGGTTTATTTTGTTTTGAGATTTATTTATTTGCTTTAAAGAGGAACAACGTGTGTCCTTCCAACTGCTAGTTCACTTCCCAGATGGTTGCAACAGCCAAGCCTAGGCTAAGCCCAAGTCAGGAGCCAGAAGCTTTTCTAGGTTTCCCATGTGGATGTTGGCTGGGCTCACGTGTTGAGCGTCAACTTCCTCTGCTTTCCCAGGCACATTATTAGGTAGCTGGAATGGAAATGGAAAAGCCTGGACATGAACCAGTGCTGATACGGGATGTTGGCTTTGCAGGCGGAGGTTTTACACACTATACCTTGATGTTGGCCTCAGGAAATAATTTTTACATTTTAAGAAAAGCGTACATTCTGGCCAAATAGGAAATTGTACAATTGTAACTCAGGTAGTGGTTTTTTATTCTTGGCAGAATCTATTCCTTGTTTTATGTTACAACTGACTCAGGTTATTAACTTGCATTTAGGGGGGTAAAAGAAAAAGCCACAAGTCAAAGGGCAGCTCAAATGATTCTGAATGAAATTGGGGCTTATTTGTTGCCTAGGTTGCTGAACTTCCTGTTATTTTGCAGATCCAGGTTGATGAGGTCAGAAGGCTGGTCTACTTTGAAGGCACTAAAGACTCCCCTTTAGAACATCACCTATATGTTGTCAGTTATGTGAATCCAGGCGAGGTGACCAGGCTGACCGACCGTGGCTACTCCCATTCTTGCTGCATCAGCCCGGTATGAAGTTGCTGTTTGAAAAGGCTTTCTTGTTCTATAAATACCCTCTGCTAGTGTAGGACTCCTTTTGAATGTCTTGGAAATTAAGGAAATTGTTCTACAGAAGCCTGATTTTTTTTAAATTTAATTTAATTTAATTTAATTATTATTATTTTTTTTTTTTTTGGCAAAAGCTAGCCATGTAAAGAGTCAAACTCTTAAAATATCCTTCCATAGCACTGTGCAGGTGTAACAGCCAGTGATCATTTTTTCACTTCTCCTTGAGTAAAACAATAAATATTTCTCCTTTCTCTAGCATTGTGACTTCTTTATAAGTAAATACAGTAACCAGAAGAATCCACACTGTGTATCCCTTTACAAGTTGTCAAGTCCTGAAGATGACCCAGCTTGCAGGACAAAGGAATTTTGGGCCACCATTTTGGATTCAGCAGGTACTTCTGCTCCTGAACTTGACCTGAAATAGGGCACAAATTGTCTATGATGTATACACGTTGCTTGGGTTTCCATCTCTCACCACTGCCTGTAGCTTGATCCTACTCATCCATGCCATCAACGCCTGAGTAAGAGGGGTTACCTCTCGTTTCAAGCAACAGTCAATCTATAGATCTCGAGAGGAGAGAGAGATCTTCTGTGTGCTGGTTTACTGTCCAAATGGCCACAATGGCTTGAGCTGGACCAATCCAAAGCCAGGAGGCAGGAGCTTTTTGGCCTCCCATGTGAGTACAGGAGCCCAAGCACTTGGGCCATACTCTGTTGCTTTCCCAGAGCAATTAGCAGGGAGCTAGATTGGAAGTAGAGCAACCAAAACTCAAACCAGTGTCCATGTGGGATGTCGGCTGTTCAGGTAAAGGCTTTAACTTGCTAAGCTCCAATGGCAGCTATGCAATGTTCATCTTAAAAGCAGATGTACAGGGTCAGGCACTGTAGCATATCAGGCCAAGCCTCCACCTGCAGTGCCGACATCCTGTCTGGACACCAGTGACTCCAGTTCTTATCTAGGCCCCTGCTCATGGTCTGAGAAGGTAGCAGAGAATGATCCAAGTCCACATGGGAGACCAGAAGCTCCTGGCTCCTGGCTTCAGCATGGCCATTTGGGGAATGAACCTGCAAATGGAAAATCTCTGCCTCTTCTGTCTCTATAACTCTTCCTTTCAAATAAAAATAAATGTATCTTTAAAAAAAAAAAACTAGAATAGTTACATATAAAGCACTTTTATTTCTGCTATTTATATATATATCTTTTAATTCATTTTCCCCACAGTTTGGTTTTGTTTTTCTGTTAGCTATTTCAGTCATTAATTGGACCATCGTTTTGGATTCAGCAGATACTTTCCCTCGACCCTGACATTAAATAGGATTAATTCAGTGGGGCATTAGTGCTGAGGGATTAGGAAATAAATACAGAACCAAAGGGTCTAGGTGATGCTTTAGTGTCCACCAACAGAATTTGTAATGTGAGGGTGACTTCAGCTTGGTGCCTAGCATCATCCATGTACAGACACCTGGGAGAGGGCTGTGTAGCTGTGTGGACCAAGGGATGCTGGGGGCTAGCTTTTTTCTGTATACTGGTAAGGCTGATTCACTGAAGTTCGGAAACTATTTTGTTGAGCACCTGTGTGAACAAGTAAATGGACTAGATTAACTTTGTGCTTCCTGTTTGTTTTTCTCCCCGGTTTTAATGAGGTATATGCCTGATTCCATGTGATTTGACTATCAGTAAGTTTCACCGAACTGGGCACAAAGTACTTGTACAGTTCTGTTCATAAGTATGATTCCTGGACAGCAAGTTTTATTCAGAATACTGTGTCTGCTTCCTACATAAGTAATCCTTGGCAGATATTTCTGAATTGGATATTCTTACTTGATTTCTAACCTCCCACTAGATAGAAAGGAAGGTGTTCATTTACTTGTATCAAGAGGTCTGAGTTTTGATGTCTTCTTCCTTGCTCTTAGATTGTCACCTGTTACAGACTCTGTGTTAACTACTCACAGGTCCACTTCCTGACTACACCCCTCCAGAAATTTTCTCCTTTGAAAGCACGACTGGATTTACATTATATGGGATGCTGTACAAGCCTCATGATCTGCAACCTGGGAAGAAATATCCCACGGTGTTGTTCATCTATGGTGGTCCTCAGGTGGGCACATTTGTACACACACCTGCATATGTGTCTATATTTTAGGTGACTTGTTTTTAAGTGTCTTATTAGCCATGTAAGTAAGAATTTGAGCTTTGCTGTGCCTCTACTCTGATGTTCTGATTCTCTTGTGTAAGAGTTTAGGAAGCTGAGTTTTGTTAGATGAATAATCTATAAATTAGTTAACTTGGACCCAGGACAGTGGCTCAGTTGTCTAAATCCTCTCCTTGCAAACATTGGGCTGGGATCCCAAATGGGCACTGGTTTGTGTTTGGCTGCTCCACTTCCCATCCAACTCCTTGCTTGTGGCCTGGGAAAGCAGCGGAGGACGGCCCAAGCCCTTGAGACCCTGTACCCATGTGGGAAACCTGGAAGAAATCCCTGGCTCCTAGCTTTGGATCAGCTGGTTCTGGTCCTTGAGGAGTGAACCAGCAGATGCAAGATCTTTGTATCTGCTTTCCATAAATCTGATCTGCTTTTCCAATATAAATCTTTTTTAAAAAAAAATCAGTTAAATCAGTTTCTTAGTATATTATGAGGAGTTAACTGTCATGGAGAGTAGAATATCCTTGTCAGAAGGTAAATGCGTTGTTTTCTATGCAGAGTAGCTAATTTGGGAAATTAAATAATTAAATGGCTTGGTAAATAAAAAGTTGCTGTGGCAGCCTTGTGAATTCCTCCTTTTCATTTTATGTAATCAGCTAGTTAAAGCAGCTGCTTGCACGGTGTTAGCACTGGGAGAAGTTTATAGCTTGGTCTTCCCTTTTCTGTAATCAAAATTGTAATGTGACTGTTAAGTAATTGCTGTTGCCCATCAGAGAGAAGTATTTGGGATAGATGAATTGATCATTTTTCAATGCTGCTTTTTTTTTTTTTTTTGGAAATTTTTGTTGGAAAGTCAGATATACAGAGAGGAGAGAGAGAGAGAGGAAGGTCTTCCATCCGTTGATTCACACCCCAAGTGGCCACAACATATGGAGCTGAGCCAAGACAAAGCCAGGAGCCTCTTCCAGGTCTCCTATGCGGGTACATGGTCCCAAGACTTTGGGCTGTCCTCTGCTGGTTTTCCAGGCCACAAGCAGGGAGCTGAATGGGAAGTGGGGCTGCTGGGATTAGAACTGGCATCCATATGGGATCCCACTGCATGCAAGATGAGGATTTAGCTGCTAGCCTACTTACTCTGCCATGCCCATATTATTCATTACATATCTTGCATTGAACCCTTAAGTAAATTAAAGTATGTTTAGATTTTTAATAAATGCAACTCTTAGATCATTTTTGCACCTAAATACCAAGTTGTACAAAAAAAAAAAGTAAAATTATATAATCTATAGTCTCCAGGATGATGGTTGTGTATTGAGTTAAGTCATTTTGTCATTATCAAGTAAGTGTATTTCACAGACAGAACATGCATACTTATTGTACTGTATTGTATTGTATTGGTATATTATAATATTAATAATGAAAGAGTTAAAAATTAGCCTTTGGTTAAAAACTTGAAGCCAGCGTCATGATGTAACACATGACCATAAAGTTCTCTGCATTGGCTATTCTATTTTTTTTTTAAGATTTATTTTTATTATTTTTTTATTGGAAAGGAGGATATACAGAGAGGAAAGACAGAGAGGAAGAGCTTCCGTCCGATGATTCACTTCCCAAGTGAGCACAACGGCCGATACTATGCCGATCCAAAGGCAAGAGCCTCTTCCGGGTCTCCCACACGGGTGCAAGGTCCCAAAGCTTTGGGCCATCCTCGACTGCCTTCCCGGGCCACAGGCAGGGAGCTGGAAGGGAAGCGAGGCTGCCGGGATAGAACCGGCACCCATATGGGATCCCGGGCGTGCAAGGCGAGGACTTAACCACTTGTGCCACCGCGCCGGGCCCGGCTATTCTATTTTTTATACAGTTCTGAAATACATTTAACTTCTCAGGCATATCATGACGTACATGACAAACACTTGAGAGATCACTCTACTTTTTATGCTGATTTGTGCGTATAAGAAAAAAGAGCTGGGCTGATCAGAGGCAATCCTAGAAGAGACAAAAAAAGATAAGCTTACTTGTCCTTCTCACTGTTGTTGGAATGGCACAGTTCTTCAGAGTAGAAGTAATCAGTTGAACAACTTTTTCTATGGATAAGTTAATTCTCTTATATGTAATGTCTAAGTTAGAGTTTACCTTTTTAAAAATATATTTGTTTATATTTATTGGAAAGGCAAATTTTACAGAGAGAAGGAGAGACAGAGAATATTTTTCATCCAGTAGTTCACTCCCCAAATGGCTATAATGGCCAGGGCTGAGCTGATCCAAGCCATGAACTAATTCTGTGTCTCCCACGTGAATGCAGGGTCCCATGGCTGCTTTCCCAGGCCATAATCAGGGAACTGAATGGGAAGTGGCGCAACGAAGACAGGAACCAGTGTCCATATGGAATGCTAACACTTGCAGGGAGAGGATTAGCTAGTTGAGCCATCGTACCGGCCCATAGTTAGTTTTCTTAAAGTTATTTAATAATTGGGCCTGGCGGCATGGCCTAGCAGCTAGAGTCCTCACCTTGAACGCGCCAGGATCCCATATGGGCGCCGGTTCTAATCCCTGCAGCTCCACTTCCTATCCAGCTCCCTGCCTGTGGCCTGGGAAAGCAGTCGAGGACGGCCCAAAGCTTTGGGACCCTGCACCCGTGTGGGAGACCAGGAGGAATTTCTTGGTACCCGGCTTCGGATCAGCATAGCATCAGCCATTGCGGTCACTTGGGGAGTGAATCACCAGACGGAAGATCTTCCTCTCTGTTTCTCCTCTCTGTATATCTGACTTTCCAATAAATAAATAAATCTTTTTTTAAAAAAAAAAAAAGTTATTTAATAATTGCCCTAAACCTTTAGTGTGAAGATAAACAAGAAATAGCATAAATATGCGAAGATCTAACTTAAATACAAAGCTCCTAAGAATTACGTTTTGAAGAGGAAATATTAAAAACATAGTTTTCTGCTTTTTGCAATCCCCTGCCTTTCTTGTACCTTGGTGTGCTACCATGTGATAAATTTCACTGAAATTCTGGGTTTTTTTTTTCCCTCAGGTGCAGTTGGTAAATAACCGATTCAAAGGCGTGAAGTACTTCCGCTTGAACACCCTAGCCTCTCTGGGTTATGTGGTTGTAGTAATAGACAACAGGGGATCCTGTCACCGAGGGCTTAAATTTGAAGGCGCCTTTAAATACAAAATGGTGTGTGAGCATAAAAACACTTCTTTTTCTTTTTCTTTTAAAACACATTGACATTTTCTGGTGTGTTGTTTGATGTTAAACCCAAGGAAGAGAATTGGGCAGTGGACATATGAGTGGAAGAGAGAAAGCACAAGTGAACGAGAAAGAGAATGTCAGCACTTTTGGGCGGGAGGGATGAGACAGCTCATGTGTACCCGTGTGTGTCTTTAGGGAGTCGAGGCAGAGCCCCCTGTAGCTCAGAAGAGCTCTCCCCACCCAGCCAGAGACAGCACACTCAGTGTCCCACGTCCTGTGCCCTGCTGAGGAACAGTGAGGTTTGTTCTGTCCTCTGTAAAGAGGGAAACCAACTGTTAGTGCCTTCCTTGTGACAAGCCTCTTTCTCTCTACAGGAGGCTTTAAAATGCTACCTTTTAGAGGTGCCCCATGTCCTTTCTGCTGCTTTGGGAAATGATGAGAATCCGATGTTCCTTTTGCACAGTAAGGCAGTTACTGTGTTTGCCAGTGTGTTGGACATGCTGAGTGAGACGTGGGGATTTTCTCCCACAGCCAGTTCTTTGACCTTATGTTGTATTGTCATGTAAGTTTTTGTTTTGTTTTCTTTCTATTGTTGTTGTTTTGTTTGTTTTTGTTTTTGTTTTGGCTCAGTGAAGTGAGACCATGTGCACTAGCAGGCTGAGAAAATGTACCCAGGGTAGTTGGTGGCAGCAGGAATTGGGATTTAACTGGGCTTTAAAGAGCAGTGTATTCAGCTTGTAGAGGTAGTGAGATGGGAAATAGGAAGACAGGAGCTCAGGAGTGATCCCCTCTGCTTTGCTGCAGAAGTGAAATTAATTCATCTCTTCAGGGAACCCAATTTTTGGCTTTGGCTATAGAAAGGCTTGTTACAAGGAAGACTTGGACCTCTTAGCAGGCAACAGAACAAATTAAACTGGGAATACCCCAAGAGCAAGGGATAGTTTTGGAAGCAAGAAGAAATCACTTTATGACCAAGAAATAGTTAAAAGCTAAGACAAGCTATTCACAAAAAGATTTTAAAGTTGGGTGGGGGAGCAACAGAACCAAAGTTGTTAATTCATAGGTAACAACACAGATATGTTTCATGAAAATGTTTATGAGCTTTACAAGCACTCAGAGTAAGATTGTGACCCATCAGAATCAGTGAAATACCATCCCTTTCTTCACAGGGTCAAATAGAAATTGATGACCAGGTGGAAGGGCTGCAATACTTAGCCTCTCGGTATGATTTCATTGACTTGGATCGTGTGGGCATCCACGGCTGGTCCTATGGCGGATATCTCTCCCTGATGGCATTAATGCAGAGGTCAGATATCTTCAGGGTACGTGACTTCCTGTTGTATTCTTTTTTTTTTTTTTTCAGTAAGACTAGAATTTTCCATAAGTTGGAAATACACAAAAAGGCCTGTTGTCTCAGGTCTACAGAGTTGGCAATATGATGGAATGTTGGGGGGGAGGGGTGTTTGATATGAACTACATATATTTCTCAGGTGCTTTCTAGATATATACATTTCATTTATTTATTTTTAAAGATTTACTTATTTGAAAGGCAGAATTAGAGAAAAGAGAAAGAAGGATTGGTGTGCTGGTTCACTCTCCAAATAGCCACAGCAGCTGAGGGTGAGCCCGGCCAAAGCTGGGCGCCAGGAGGTTCATCTAGGTATCCCACACAGATGGGAAGGGCCAGGAACTTGGGCTACCTGCTATGTTTAGCAGGGAGCTGGAACAGAAGTGGAGCAGCCAGGATACAAACCAACACCCGTTGGAGATGCTGGCATTGCAGGTGGCAACTTTACCCACCATATCTCAGTGGCATCTGACTTATTTTAAATGCTTGTCAACCTAAAAACCAGTATTGGCTATTTATGTACATCATCCACAAGTTGTGATTAGTAAAATGCATGTACATTTTGAATTATAATCACCTGGTTAGTTGGTAGGCTGCTAGACCTGAAATCAGGCTCCTGTTTCCTGTATGTCTCTATATCCTCAACATCCAAACAAAATGTTTCCCACACCGTAGGCGCTCAGTCTTTTTGAATACATAAACACAATTCTGTAAGGGAAACAAAATCTTGGGAAAACATGCTAGAAGAAAATAGCTAAGTATGTTTACAGTTTACAGTAGCTTTTCTTTGTTTACTCTTCCAAAGGCATGATTCTATTTTATAGTGAAAAGTAATTTTATTGATTGATTTTAAAAGCAGAAAGACATCTTCCATCTATTGGTTCACTCCCCAAATGTTTACAGCAGTTGAGGATGAGCAAACCAGAGGCAGGAGCCAGGAGCCAGGAACCTGAAGTTTGATCCAGGCCTCCCCATGGATGGCAGGGACCAGCTGCTTGAGCTATCGCCTGCTGCCCCCCAGGGTGAACGTTAGCAGGAAGCTGAACTTGGGAGTCAGGACTCCAACCCAGACACGCTGATATGGGCTAAGAGTAACCCAATGACAGCTTAACTGCTGCCCAGACACTTAATCCTGGATTGTTTTTTTAAGTGATACGTTTTTTGTTTTTGTTTTGTAATAGTTGCACACAAACTCTGAAAACTACCATAATTTCCCCAGGCTTACAGATATCAATAAAATAATTTGAATATTTAAACAAACTTTGAGTTGGAACCATAAATGAGGTAAATTTTGAGAACATAAATCTATTTAATCCTTCAGCGTTTTAAATTCTGAACTTCCAGCAGGAGCTATTGGCACACGTTGTTCCCAGTAGCACGTTGTTGCCAGTAGCAGGAATGAGTTTGCACTGAAGTGTTTGCGTGCCCAAATGGTGTCTCCCCTCTTAACAGCCCCACATTTGTGTTTCAGCTAGTCCAGGCTCAGGGTTTGGTATGCAGCTTGCCTGTGGAATGTGAAACTTACTGACTCACAGGGTATCAAATTCTGGACCTTGGCGCTCCTCTTGGATTTTCTGAGTTGCCTAGGACCATCTATGTGTGCAGGACTCAAGCCCAAGGATAATTTTAGCCTATAAATGTGCACTTGGAAATGCTCAGTGTTTGCCTCTGTTTTCTGGAACCCAGTTGACTGTTCGTGTTGTCTAATGCAGGTTGCCATAGCTGGGGCCCCAGTCACCCTGTGGATCTTCTATGATACAGGATACACAGAACGTTACATGGGTCACCCTGACCAGAATGAGCAGGGCTATTATTTAGGGTCTGTGGCCATGCAAGCAGAAAAATTTCCCTCTGAGTAAGTTCAAACTTTAAACTTCAGATTATAACTTTTAAAAATTCTGCTTTTAAAATTTATCTTCTAATAATAATGAAAATTTCAAATGCTGAAAGAACAAAATTAATATTTTTATAAAACACACAAAACAGTGTGGCTGTTTTTCAAAGCTGAATTACAAGCTAGGTCATGAACTGTAATTTGGATTTATTTCTTTGTTTTGCTTTGTTTTTTACAAGTTATATTTGAAAGAGTAGCTTATGCAGAGAGAAGTTAAATGTTCAACTATTTCAAGGCAAAAAAATCCTGTACTTAAACGTGATTATTTCACTAATACTTTTTCTAGAGACATGCTGTAATTGTTGATATGTTCTGATGTTTTAATGAGAAATTGAGCTTGCAATCTTTTTAAATCTCATTACATATAGCAGTCTGGTTAATATGTGCAAAATTTAATACAGAAAATATTGGATCTCATCGCTTCTCAACCTTTTGGCTAAGATCAAGCATAAAAAATATTGGATTGCTATTCTAGCATTATAATATTAGCTAAATATTATTAAGTGCTTAATTTTATTAAATACTTAAGTAGTATTGTGGTAAGTATCTTGTTCGAATGTTGTCTTTCACCTAATCCATTTTTCCATTTCTGTAGACCAAATCGTTTACTGCTTTTACATGGATTCTTGGATGAGAATGTCCATTTTGCACACACCAGTATATTACTGAGTTTCTTAGTGAGGGCAGGAAAGCCATATGATTTACAGGTGAGTTATTCTCCATTCTCTGATGAAAGGCATTACTTACTTGTGCTTGATTTCTCTGAAATCCATCATAACCTGTGCAGCAAGGCAGCATTTTTCTGGGCCATCTCTCTTCTGCTTAAAAGAAGTGAGGTACTAGGCACAGCAGCCCCTCCTCTTGTTGGGTGAAGTCAGTATTTTGCTGAAGCCAGGCAGGAAAGCTGGCCTGTCAGCCAACGCAACGTGTGTGTCTGTATCTGCTCTTCACTTCCCAAGCACAGGAAGAAGGCATGGGAATCCATTCACTGTCCTTTGTTTTCCTTCTCCCCTTTAAAGAGTAGGGAAATGCTGCTTGATTTCATTGTTGTTAACAAAATTTTAGGATCCGACTTTAGTGCATCTTGATTTTATTTTCTCTTTAACCACTGGAGCAGAAGCCAGCAAGTTACCCTTCTCTGTTGCCTCATTACTCAAAAATGTTTTGAGAATTGTGCCTTTTTTCTGCTCCTTGGACAGATTATACACTCTTGAAAATGAAAATATTATTCTGATTTTATATTTTAGTTAACATTTACGTGTTCATAAATAGTTCATAACTATCAGATACTTGTCCATAGCAATGATTCTACATTTTTTGGCTTCAAGACCCTTTTCTGCACCAAAGAACTTTGTTTATGTGGGTTATGTTTATCAGTATTTCTCAAATAAGACACTAAAACTAAGAAAAATTGTTAACATTTATTATAAATTATCATTATGTTAGCCCACAGATCACCTTTTTATTAAGAAAAAGTATGTTGTAGGGGCAGACATTTGACACCCATATCAGAGGGCCTGGGTTTGATCCCATCTCTGCTCCTAGTTCCAGCTTCTCCTTAATATGCTCCCTGGGAGGCTGCAGGTGATGGCTAACTACTTACATCCCTGCCTCATGTGTAGGAGCCCACGCATGAACTCGTGGCTCCTGGCTGTTACAAGCATTTAGAGTGTGAACCAGCTAAAGAAAGATCTCTCCTTCTCTGCCTTGCAAATAAATAAGAATTTCAAATATGTATGTGTATATATATTCTAAGACAAAGTATTAATTTATATTTTTATAGATTCCTTTATAAATATTATGCCTAACTTAATAAATGTTCCTGAATTTTTATCTACTTCTACAGTCAGTATATTATGATATGTTATTTTGACTAAAATCTATGAAGATAAATTCAGCTTCTCATGTGATTAAGCAATGGAAGGAGTGTTTTAATTTTTTTGGATAACTATCAATAGTCTTTACTATTGCTTCAAAACTGGATGCATGGTAGTTTTTTAAAGCCTGGTTTTAGAGTGGAATTGGAAGCCATGTTTATGAGGGTACTTCAAAAAGCTCATGGCAAATTGGATTAAAAAACAACACACATTTTCTGGAACTCTTTGAAGACTGCTAGTCTACATTTTTACTACTGTGTCATGTTGAGATCCACTGAATGTTTTGCTTCAGGTGGATCTTTCTACCCATGCATTGATCACATGGACAATTCTGGTTCATTGTGTTATGCCAGCCTTTCAAATGTTGACTCATTGCGTTTTACAATATTTTTAAAGTCATGTATGATATCATTTCTACTGGTCTTATCAAAAAAGTATATTAATGTATTGGGAAATTCAGGAGCTAATAATGGTCAATGCAAGCTTTCCAAAATTCTGATTTGCACTCAGAAGTTTAAATTTTAGCACTGACAAGAAAGATACTGTCAGTGTTGTTCATGAAGTGACCAGCTCACTTTAGTCATTTTTGAAAAAAAATATTTAGCAGATACACAAGTCTGAGTAGCCATAGTTGTCAGTCATTCTTTGGAGTTAAAATGGAGTTCCAGGAAAAATCTAGTACTTTAACTGCAGTTTGATTGATAGACAACCCATGCCACAGATTCTTTATGAATGCTTCCCCTTTTGTTGCCACGAAATACTAAAAAGACTGCTGCTCAAGAATTTAAATTAATGAGGCTCTAATTTTATCATTACGTAAGTAAAACTGACATCTTATTTGCTGCAATGAATAGTGTTGAGGAAGCTGCGATAACTGATACAGTTTAATACAGTTGCTGCCTTGATAACATGCTAAGGCACCAGCAATTTTACACACCATTGCTTTTGTATCATCATCGATGTGATACAGTTGATAAAGAGATTAACAAAACAGTGAGTAAAGAATAATGCCATGGTGTGATTCTGAAAATAGTTTAGCTTGTGTGTCCATGTGTGTGGTTTCTGAGAACCCCTGAAAGTCCACAGATCACACCTGATGAATGAGCCATTGGTGTACAAATGAAGTCATCAGATGTAACGGGCCGAGAGGGGCCTTTAGTCAGGCTGTGTCCCCTGTTGTTGATCCTGTTAACAGTCTGGAAAGCTGTGAAAGGAGGTGTCTTACTAAGTTCTTGTTTTGTTCTTAATGTTTGTTTTTTTTACTGCGAAGATCTATCCTCAGGAGAGACACAGCATCCGAGTCCCTGAATCTGGAGAGCATTATGAACTGCATCTTTTGCACTACCTTCAGGAAAACCTCGGATCACGCATCGCTGCTCTCAAAGTGATATAGTTTTGCCCCATGTAGAACTCTGACATACACTGGCTGTTGAACCAAATGAGGAGGCCTAATCAATAGAAAACACAGAATTGATCATCGCATTCTGGTATCCACCGTGTAACACCTACTTCTGAAAGTAAATTTGGTGCCACGCAGGTGTCTACAGCTTGTGGATAATAATCTTAATACCTTAACCATACACACACAAAATGGAGTGATTCATATTTCTAAGGGATACAGCAATACCATGAGAGCTATGGAAAGGAACAAGACATTAGCACCACGTATCCATACTACCCTGTTTTCACTTTCAGTAGCATTATAGACGTCACGGACTTGATTAGTGTATTTTTACAGTATGCTTCTCAGTTTGTTAAAATATGATGATATTAGTGATTGGTTTGATTCAGTTCCAGAGTATCTGGACTAGTTACAGATTCGATAGCCCTTAAGTGTAACTGAATAGCTTATGCTTCATTGCTTGGGGTATATCCAGCATGGTATGAACTAATCACTATTAAGCCTACGACTTGACCCGTCATTAACAGTTCTTCATGGATAATTTAGTGGCCTCCTAAAGACACTTATTTTGGCCCTGACCGGTTTTTAGCCCATTTAAATTCTATCTGGTATAAATAACTCTCAGTTTGCTTTGAAATGACAGAGTGAGTTTTTCCTTTCACATAAAGGCAAGTAACTATAAATGTAGCATGGATTTAATTAGTCTTATGATACTGATAATTACAAAAAATTTTTAATCAAATGATTAGAGCTAAAATATTTGCAGGCAAGGTTTTTTTTTTTTCTTTACAAAAAGGAAAAGTACACATTCACTTATATTTGGCAATTTTAGTGGTGCCAGATTCCATGTGGTGTTTTCTTACTAAAATGTTTCAGGGCGTAAGGGAGGTGGGAGAGAATTGCAGAAAGGCTGAGGGGAGACCACGGTGTGGGGGATGGCAGGAGAGGCAAGGGTCTACTTAACAATGAAGCAGAAGTCATTTGGACAGGAATAACTCGTGTAAAGGCTTGGGAAATGAAATTTAAACTCCTAGCATGGTATAGAAATCACTCTCTTGCCAACCCAGCTACAGACTGATATTGTTCGGGGGAAGAAAAGTTTTTTGGAATTACTTTCATAATTACATTTTTTATTACTACATTTCCTCTTCATTTTAGAAATCTTATCCATCTACACTTTATCCTTCTTAAAATATTTGAACATAATTTACATTTGGTGAGCCTGCACTAGGAGGCTTCCAGACAACTTCTTTAGCCTAAGTCAGTCTGACAAACCATGGTTCTCTGTCACTGATGGACGCCTGGGAGCACTCTCCTGGAGTGTCTGAGACAGTGATTTGCCAGCGTGGGAACTTGGAAGCTTTCAGGTGCTGATGACGTCTGCCCTCTGAGTTGAACCCTTTGTCATAAACTTGAGTGTTACCAGTATTCTTATGCCACACTCAAGAAGTGCAGTCTCCTTCTCACCACTACAGCAAGGGTAGCTTTCTCCCCCCAGACCACATGGTTGGGAGCAGTTGGTGCCCGGCTTGGAATCCCTGGGAGCAGGTGGAGGTGGGGGAGGCCGGGGAATGGCAGTGACTTGGAGGCTCTCTCCCTGGGAAGGGGCGGGGTTTTACTGTTTGTGTATTTATATTGTATAATAGATGCCACACTTTTCCTCATTGTCTGTATATGTATTGTTTTTTGTGTTTATGATATTTTTCCATACCAAGATCTGTTTATATTTTTTCAATGTTAAATTAAATTGACTTGAGTAATTTTTCTTCCCCAAGAAAGTATTTTCCCTCATGACTTAAGCATATCTCTGACTGCTGAGGATGGTTTTTGTATGAGAGGTTTTTGTTTTGGTTTTTGGGACTAGGTGGCCTCCAAAGATCTACCCTTACATTACACACCAATAGAAACGGTAGCCAGCAGCTTTGACACAGCTTTGCTGCCCTCTTAGCACTTGAGGCTCTTTCTTCGTGACAGCATCTCCTACTGCCCGTTATGAACCCAGAGCACTCAGGTACCCTTCAGCTCACAGGCATCTTCTTTTGTGGCTTGGCTTCTCCCTCCCTCCTACGCACCAGGAGTGCTTCCCAAGGCTTCCCACTCCCTTACCTGCCATCCTGCTGCTTTGCAGGGAAACACCAGCTGAATCTGCCGGCTTCACTGAGTTTGCTTTCACAGCCACTGTGGAAACCACCATCGTCAGTGGAAGCCATCAGTAAAACTCTCAGAAAAACTGATTGTGGAGAACAGCTGAAAAGATTAGAGCTTAAGAGAGTAGGAACAGTGTGGGGAGAGCCAAAAGCATCAGGCTAACCCGTCAATCCGGGTTTTTGCAGGCTTAGTAAATGAGTAGTACATTTGTCGAGCCATCAGTAGGTAAAGTTACTAGTGCATTGTAGCATGGTAGACCTCCCGAATCTAAGCTTCCTCTGAGATGCTTCCTAAAAAAAAATGCAGAGTCTTGAACCTCATTTTTAGAAATTTGGATCTCATTGATCTGGGTGGAGACCAGGGCTGTGCATTTATAACTGGTTTTCCAGGTAATTTCAAAGCAAGCCATCTGTGCACTACTTTAAGAAACTAGAGAGACTGAAGTTTAATTAAGTAGAAAATATTAAGTGAAGTTTTTTTTTACATTGGACTGATTGACAAGACCCTAAAAATATATTTAAGAAAGCTTTAACTGTTGGCCCCTTCTCACTGGGAAAGCAGCAGGAGGTACTTGGTAGTTTTGTGTCCCCGCTGGAGATTGCATTTTGGAATGAAGGCTTTTCCTTTTGCCGTTCCCGGCACTTCTCTAAAGTACATGGGTTAGTTTACATGGAAGAGGTAACAGTGTTGATATGTTCATGTTTTACTCCTTGCAGAGGGCAGGAGTATTATCATCTTCTCTTGGTGGCGTGATTCTGGTGAGATTTCTGGTTATGATTGACACACACACTTTTCAGGCTGTAATAAAGCTTTGATATAACCAACCTGCTCATTTGTTAGAGGAGGAACTTGCCTTCTTGAGAAATGAGGAAATATAGCACTGGCCACACAGCCAGGTAGCAATTCAGTTGGTACTGGACTCCATCAAGATGTCCTGCCTTACAGGAGTAAAATGATATATATAAAGGGTGAGTTTTTAAAGAAGTATTTATTAATATATTCCTATAAAGCATTTTAAAGGTAACCATATAAAAATGGTTAATTTTTCCATTCTAAAGTAAATGCTAGGCATGCTTACTCATGAAACAGTACTCCTCATTAGTACATGACATTTTGAAGTTAATTAAAATTGTCTAGTGGGGCTTAAGCCAGTGGGGTGTAGAGTGTTTGCTTAAACCTGGGACCCTGTCTTACAAGCAGTCTGGTGTAAAAGAGGCATGGCCACATCTAAACTAATGTAATGGGAGGCGAGTCTCCAATCCCAGCAGACACAAAAGGATACAGGGAAGCTTCCCTGACGCCCACCTTCCCAGCCCCCCACCCAGCCTCACCTTTCCACCTTCCCACCTAAAATGCAGGAGTGTGTCAGCGCAAGGTGCCGGGCTCTGAGTGATCACTCAAGGCTCCCTCACACAGAAGAAGAAAGTAGTGTTTGTAGGTTTGTTTTTAAATAACCAGGCGCAGTTTATGTTTTATTCAGCAAAATTGGAGTTCAGGTCTTTAATTTTAGACATAAAGTGCCTGCTGTTTTAAGCATTTACTTGTATAAAAGAACTGCATGTCTCACTTCAGTAAATTTATGGGTTTTCTCATTTTTCAGCAACATGGCTTTTAATCATGTAAAGTGAAACATTCGTTTTTGTTGCATTTTATTACAGGTTATTTGTTGCAATAAAGATGCTGCTGAAATTAACTGATTTAAATGTCCGTTGTTTCCCCCCATCCTTCCCTGTTGGTACAAGCTTACCTTGATCCGCGGCAGCTGTGGAGGGAGTGGTACAGAAAAGGCTTGTAGTGGCAAAGGGGTGCAAGAGGGTGGGAGAAAAGACTTCCCCCAGACAGGGGATCTGGTCCCCAGCACTTGACGCTACACGTTGGGGCTGCCAACGGAGCTGGCTGAGCCCATCCCCTCTGGGACTGCCACCCAGAATATATCATGTAGTGGTATATCTGTGTGCTAACTCCTAGGGAGTTCAGTGTAGTTTTTGTTCAGAGATTTCTTTGTTTTCCAAAGCTGTATTAAGGAATGATTGGACCCAGCTTCATAGTGTAGCAGTTCAAGTCTTCACCTTGAACACTCCAGGATCCCATATGGGCACCGATTCTAATCCCGGCAGCTCCACTTCCCATCCAGCTCCCTGCTTGTGGTCTGGGAAAGCAGTCGAGGATGACCCAAAGCCTTGGGACCTGCACCCTCATGGGAGACCCAGAAGAGGCTCCTGGATCTGGATCAGCTCAGCTCCAGCCGTTGCGGCCACTTGGGGAGTGAACCATCCAGATGGAAGATCTTCCTCTCTGTCTCTCTTCCTCTCTATAAACCCGCCTTTCCAATACAAATAAATAAATCTTAAAAGAAAAAAAAAAGGAGTGGTAGGGGCAGATGAACCTCTAAATTTGATAAAGTTGGCTTTATCTGCTCACCTTTGTAAAATAGACTTAATCAGGGTTCTGTAAACTCTTAGTGAACAGTGGTATATTCTAGAGAAAGCACTGGCACCGCGAGACTCTCAGGGAATGGTAATCAAAAGAACCATAGCTGCAGTAGGAGTATTCTGTTTTCATTTTCCATGCAAAAATGATGAAAAACAAACATGATAGCTAAGGCAATACTGCAGGTCCTTGCTTCCCAACCTCATGTGTGTGACACACAAAAAGGCGTGTGTGAGACTGGGAACACAGCTGGAAGTGAGTGCCAGGCCCGTCCCAGCCTGTCCCAGGCAGTCCCAGCCTGTCCCAGCGAGTCCCAGCCTGTCCCAGCCCCAGAGAGGTGTCTCTGTATGCACCTGTTTACAGCACTGGGACGGGAAACAAGATCGCTGTGCTCTCTCCACAGTGCAGCCCAGATTTGTCACTAATCAAGATGCCAGCTTTCCAACCTAGCCAAAACACGCCAAGCAGGACCCAGCAAAGGAGGTGAACATTCCCAACAACTGGAGGGCTGTAGTGTTCCAGAGTCCAGTCACAGCCCAGGAAGTGATGAAGTGTCAAAGCTTTTCTACTTAAATTGTTTCTGTCGACTCACTGGAAGGGTAGCTAGAGCTTCAGGTGTTCTATGTGGATGGCAGAGGCCCAAGCACTTCGGTCATCTGTTGTTTTACCCAGGCCGTAGCAGGGATTTGGATTGGAAATGAAGCAGCCAGTACTCAAACCTGTGCCCACATGGGATGCCAGTGACACAGGTGGCAACTTTACTCGCTACATCACAGCACCAATTCTGCATTGGTTCTTCATTCCTGTCGCTGCCCTGGTCCTAATCTAGAATTTATGGTCTTATTCTGAGTAACTGCATCAGCTCTCTCAACCTAGCCTGGGAAAGGAGAATAGAATCTCAACTTATGAAAAAAAGTATTTTTTTAAAGATTTATTTATTGGGGCCCGATGCGATAACCTAGTGGCTAAATCCTTGCCTTGCAACACTGCCAGAATCCCATGTGGGATCCTTAATATTTATTTATTTATATTGAAAAGTTAGATTTACAGGGAGGAGGAGAGACAAAGATATTCCATCCACCTGTTCACTCCCCAAGTGGCTACAATAGCCAGAGCTGAGCCGATCCGAAGCCAGGAACCAGGAGCTTCCTCTGGGTCTCCCACGCGGGTACAGGGTCCCAAGGCCTTGGGTCATCCTTGACTGCTTTCCCAGGCAACAGGCAAGGGGCTGGAAGGAAAGTGGAGCAGCCAGGAATAGAACCAGCACGTGTATGGGATCCCAGCAGTTGCAAGGCAAGGATATAGCCACTAGGCTGTCAAACCAGACCCTAGAAATTCTTTTTTCAAATGCATTTTTATTTACAAGTAAAAGCCAGAGGAAAGAGAGATCTTGATCACTCCTGCAAATAACTAACAACCAAAGCTTGCTCAAGAAGCAGCCAGGCATCAGGAACTCCTCCACAGTGACGTCCCATGTGACAGGGCAGGGGCCCAAGTGCTTGAGACATCATGGCTGCCTCCGGGGTGCCTGCTAGCAGGAAGCTGGATGGGAACCTGAGGTGCGACTCAGTCTCCACTGCTGAGCCACAGTGCCCACACCCTCCCCTCTGAGCCCACATCCCCTCAGATGACTTTAAAGAACCGCCAACATGTAGCAACAGCTGCAGGCCAGGACGCAGCCACTAACCTCAATAGGCTCTCCTATTTCTACTCCCACCCCACTGGCACTGGCCCCGCAGCAGACACAGCCACTCCACCATTGGTTGATTTATTTGAGAGGCAAAAAGCTTGCCCATCTGGCAGCTCACCCCCAAAGCCTGCAAGAGCAGGGAGGCTGAAGCCAGAAGCCCGGAATTCAATCCAGCTCTCCCGTGGGGAGAACCCAATGACTTCACCACAGCCTCCCAGGGTCCACATTAGCAGGATGCTGGAGTCAGGAGGCACAGCTGAGGCCTGGACCCAGACGCTCCAACTGGCCTTCCAATCACACACACAGGCAAGCTGGTTCTCATTCTGCTCCGCTGTAAGCAGTGCTGCCACTGTGAATGAAATCCCGAATTCTGCCTGATCCTTCAGGCTGCGAGCCACCTGATCTGATCTCCCCTTCTTTGCCTTCCCTCATCGAGCACGCCTTGCAGGTCACTGATTAGGCTAACCCGTGCGCAGTCCCCACCAGCTGCCCTGTGGAGCCTCGGGCCTGCCACAGGGAATAGTCAGGAATCACGCGCCCGGGAGAGAGCCCGAGAAACACCAGGAGACTAGCAGTGGCCTTCCACCCCTGCTGCTACTACTGGCCCACAGCGCGTAAACTACTCAAGTTTACATCCTGTTCGGACGCTCGTTTTCCCAGCTGTGAGACAGCAATACTAACAGGAACTAACAATACTAACATTGGTTGTTTCACGTAAGGCACTTGGTGCCCCACACAGAGAGCTTAGCAATGGTGTTCTCAGATACAGCAGCTAATGTTCTAGTATATTCTTTTTGAGAGGTGGCATGAGAAGCAGAGATCGTTCCTCAAATGGCCCCAACAGCTGGGACTGCTACAGGCTCAGAACTCTGTTCAGGCCCCCCCTGTGTGGTGGCAGGAATCTGAACACCTGGGCCATCATCCGTTGCCTTCCCAGGCGCATTGGCAGGCAGCTGGATTGGAACGTAGGCAGGATTGAAACAAACGATCCATTGTAGTGTGCCGGGTTTACCTGATGTACCACAACACTGCCCCCGCCCCTTATGCTTATTTCAGTCTCATTATTCTGACTCTGGAGTATAGTATGTGGGACTCACTAATTGGATACTTGAATACCATAAAATTTCCAAAGGGAAGAAAATATTTGGGGGCGGTTCTGTGGCCTATG